CATCCTTAGACCTTCACCGGAAATACCGCCGTGCATAGAGCCCATTGGCCGCCTTTTGCATTTTCTGGCCATTTCGCAGCGCTGTTTCACGGCCGCCTCAGAGGGTGCGTTAAATTGGACATTGTCCCTTTATAGTAGAGCTACTCCTTTTTTGATCTGAATATTACGTGACCCGACTCTAGAATCTACTACCCCCTGCTGCGCGATCGGTGTATTGCATTTCAGGCATCGCCGGTGACGCTTGTGTACTATGAAAAGGAGCGCGTAGCTCGCGTTGCTTGCTCGCGTTGCTTGCTCGCGTTGACTATGTAACGGCCTTAAGTTCATGCATGCAGGGGCGTAGGAGCCATTATACGTGGGGGGGACATGTCCCCCCCACTATTTCCCAATGTAAGATTTTTTTTTTTTTTTTTTGCATTGCCTGCCTATCTCTGCCAATTTCGGAGTCTCCAAATGAATCCATTCGGCAACTTTTAAATACATAATTCAATTTAAAAAAACGGCCGTATTCTCCAGCTGCTAATCTCGCTGTCAGTCGCCCATGATCGCGCACCGCTCGCGCATGCGCATCTAGCTGACACGGATAATGTACGCAGCGATATATAATGAGTGTTCCTGGGAGATCCTAGTTGCGCGGGATGTGGAAGCGTGCAAAAGTTCCAGAAATGTACATAAAGTGCCCTGGCCTTGAATGACAAGGTAAGGAAAATAATACTAAATCTAAATTAAATAACCAAGACTATGTTGGCCATGTGATTTTTCTCAGGAGATGTTTTGAGCATTTTACTTCAGACACCGGATTATCAGCAAACTGCCAAGAGAACTGCTAGCTGGCTACTCAAAATAAACTAGCAATCTATTCAGGCAGCATATTTGTGTTTGATCTGTGTGAATTACAGAAATATAAGACTTGCTAGACCTACTTTTAGCTAGGAACCTTTCCACAAGGATAGATAGATTTTATTTTTCAATCTATCCTTGCTAAGCTAGGTGGTTAATGGAAATTAAATCAACCATTTATTTGAGTTTTTAACAGTAATGTAAATGCTAAATGTCCTAATACCTGTTGATACTACAACAATGCAAAGTATATGCTCTTAACCTTGCAGTTTTTTACATATCATGTAAGACTCATTTTCTCAGTTTCTTTGCACAAAATTCTCCAGAAAGTGCCATTTAATGGATTATTTTTCAAAAAAATTCCTAGGGGAGCATAACCCCCCCGGACCCCCGGAGAGCCCACATAATAAATCACAATTTAATCACTGCTTAGAACCAAACTAAGTAATACAGTCTGTTCCCATAAGTCATTAGAAATTAGCATTTGTGCCTTATATATATAAAAAAATATATACAACATTTTTTTTTTTTTTTTTTTTTTTTTACCCTGGCTACATATTTTTCTTTGTTGTACATTTGAATTGTTTTTTTCCTTCTATTTCTGTGTCTGCCTTAATAAAAAAAGAGCAGTTTTCCGTTATGCCATTTTATTCTGAGTGTCGTCGAGATTTTTGGAAATGTATAAATAAAACTTAATAGAAAAAAAATATTATAAATACCAATGTGCGTGTAGCTAGGCTACTAAATAATAATTTAGCTTTTTGTAACTTATCTCTTACATTAAATTAAATACCTGTACAATACAGTTTTTAGTGTGTTAATGATTGTCCAGTAGAACACATTTTAGGCCTATCTTGTAGTATTCTTGAACTATGTTGTGTTAAGGGATAGTTCACCCATAAAGGGAAATTCTGTTATTATTTACTCACCATCAAGTTGTTCCAAACCTGTATGAAGAAGAAGATATTTTGATGAAAATTGTTAATCAAACAGTTGATGGGCACCATCGACTTCCATAGTATAGCCTACTATGAAGAAAAAAAACTATGGGTCCCATTAACTGTTTGGTTAACGAAATTCTTCAAAATATCTTCTTTTGTGCTCAGCAGAAGAAAGAAATTCATATAGGTTTGGAACAATTTGAGGGTTATATGATGACAGAATTGTCATTTTTGGGTGAACTATCCCTTTAATCAGGGTATCCGCGGGGTCTTGAAAAGTATTAAAAGGTGATAAATCAATTTTGGGAAAATTAAGACCCTTAAAAAGTATTAAAAAGTCTTATCATTGCTTTATAAAGTCTTACATTTTGAAAGTATTTTTTCTGAATTAGCTGTCCAACAGTTTGAGTCCCAAAAACGTCGTAAAAGTGTGTGAATTTAGTCTTTTTTATTAAAAAAACGAAGAACTGAGGCACATGTCAGCATGATTGTTGTTGAGGGTGGAGCAAAGTTTTGTTTTGTTTTTTAATAAACTTTGCTTTGATTTACTATCCCAGCCTATTTGACTTTTTTTTTTTTTATCAGAGTGGTCTATAGTCTTTATCACAAACTAAAACTGTTAAGTTAAAAGTATCACTGATGTAAATGGTAACAGCTTGAAGTGGCGGTGAGGTATTAAAAGATATTGAGAAGGTCTTGAAAAAGTCTTGAAAAGGTATTAAAATTAACTTCAAGATTCCTGCATATACCCTGTTAATGTTAGTGTGTGTGGTTCAGCGCCCTCTGGAGGAAGTCAAATGTGTGCAACATGTTTTCAGTTTCTTCATTTCTTTGTGACACTGCCTCCCTGTGGCTGATACATTATAGTAGATTAGAAGAACCTATAGGCCAATAAATGGAAAACTTCTGATCTAAAAACTGATCTTTTATAGAGTCATGCTTTTGCAAATGTTTTACAACTGAATTTTTCTCTAATCTTTGTATCATTTATACTTAATTTGTCTCCACTGCTCTCTGATCTGATAGTCGGAGTATTCATTGCTATATTATGTAACTTGGCATATGAATATGGTAATATTTCATCAGTGCTGGGTAGATTACTTACAAATTATAATCGGTTACTGATTCTAAATTCCAAATTGTAGTTAGTAAGGAAATCCATTACATTACACATTTAAGGTGATATAATCAGACTGATTACTTTTGAGTTATTTTAAAGTGTCTATTGTTGAAAGATTATTTATAACATACATTCTAGTGCCGGTGAGCAGCTGGTTAAAATAAGAATGAAATAAAAGGAAACACAAACAATCTCAAGTGTGAAGTGTGTAAGCAAGCTTTAAAATAAAAGGGTCATATTTTACATGTCAAAAAGACCACTAAAAGAACATTCTTATAGTTTAGTAGCTTTTATTGTGTTGATAACAGTTTACATATAGTGATTGCATTTTAAAGTGCCAGCCTTACTGAGGAGACCAGATCGCCCTCCTCACATTCAACATTTACAGTCAACACTTTACTGAGGAAAAAGATTATTGTGCATTTGTCAAAAACATTGATCATTAAATAAAGTAATCTTTCACATGTTCTAAAGACAACAGCTGAATCTTAATAATAAACCTTTAATAAATATTTATATTAACACAATCTTCCAGCATCCTGAGGACATCATTTCCATCCTTCCCTCTAAGTTTGTGCTTTTTGCTTTATTGTTTTCTTTTGTGGTTTCTTCTCTTCATATATATATATTTATATGATGCTATAATCGCCTGAGTTGAATATCAATAATCAGCATTAAACATCTGGTTACTAACCTTCAGATAATTGATAGGATTGCTTGTAACATTCAGTCAAAGATACACACACATTAACATTATAACACTAACACACTGATTGCACAGAGTTAAGGGCCTGAACAACAATAAACATATACAATATATTCATATTTACTGTATATAAATGTCTATAGATTCATACTATAATTTATATGCTTGCTTATTTCAAAGAATATCGAGTATATTGTAAAATGTATGGCACTAGTTCTGTCTTTGGCTCACAAGTACACTACAGGACTATTAAACATTAGCCTAAACTTAATTGATTAAATATATCTTGTCTTAAAGTACAAATGAAGAACCGTTACAAATGGGAGAAATACTGAACCTTTAAACACTGCTCGGCCGCAATATAAATAAAGGTCTTTGTTTATCTATTTTTATATCGTTTCAAACGGAAAATTCTTATGTTTCACCTCACAAAGGTGTTGATTAACCACTTTACATGACCTACTAACAAGGTATAAGTTCTAGAAACACAACACTAAAATACAGATCAACCACTGGTTCACACACAGACCCCACTACTACACAGAAAGGGCTTCGAGCTTCATTAAAAGCGTGGTGCGCCTTTGCTCGTCTTTATCTTGCATTTACAAACCGAAGCACCGGCTGTTCCACATGATCCCAGTGGACTTGCTGTAAGGTGACCGTGTATATACTAGGGAAAAGCTTGCTTCCGCCACGCAACAAAACAATAAAGGTAATTGCTATACCTTTATCTTACAATTCAGATTTTTTTTTTTTTTTTTTTTGCCAGGTAAAATTGTTTTATTTGTAATTGTAAGTTTATATCTCACAATTCGAACTTTATTTTTTTGGCGATTCCACATTTTTATAACTCTCAATTCTGACTTTTTTCTCAAAGTGTGAGATATAAAATCAGAATTCCAAGAAACTCTTGGCACATTTTTTTCTCCCAATTACATTTTGAGTTTATATCTCAAAATTCTGCGAAAAAATTCAGAATTGTGATATAAACTCGCAATTATAAAACACTTTTTTCCTTACAATCATGATGTTTTTCTCACAATTCCAAATTCTTATAATAACTCTCAATTCTGACTTTTTTTCTCAGAATATAACTTTTGTGAGTTATAAAGTCCGGATTCTGAACTATAAACTAACAACTGCGCGCACAAAAAAAAAAAATCTGAATTGTGAGATAAAGAGTTTATTTTTATTTAAAGGTGGAAACAAGCCTCCATACTATACAGGCTGTGTAATCTGTAAGTGAAAGATCTACAGACATTGAGAAGAAGGACAGAACATATTGGACCACAACACGACGAATAAACATAGCCAGTAAATGCGTAGACCTCACGACTGTCCCGTCGAGTGGATGAAGGAGATGCTTTAGACACAGAGCTGCAGTTCTCTGCTCTTACAGGTCCTGACCCAGCCTCTCGATCTCGTCGATCAGGAAATCGATGTCTGACATTGTGACGGCATGATTGGAGACCACCATTCGGAAGAAGTTGACTTTGTCTCCCTGTGGTTGGTACCCTACCATGGTTGTGCCGCACTCCATCATCAATGCCTTGATCTTCGGCGCCACCTGCAGGGGAAAACAGAGTCCTTATGACACCAGTTACTGTAGTTACTCTTGATTTGGTAGTTATAGGAGATGATGAAGTACCCTGTGTAGCTTCTCCCTTCGTTCGTCTCCGTGTGGCATGCCACGCAAGCTTGGCGGAATATACCAGAAGCAAACATTTGTGTGCTGGGGCTGTAGAGAGCAAAATAAAAGCCATTACATCCAGTGTTAGGTAAGCAGTTCTTTCAATCTATAAATATGTGTGTTCCAGATACAAACCTGGCCCTCAAAGACCATTTCATATCCCTCACGGTTCTTGATTTTATTGTAGAGATATTCAGAAATCTCCAGGCATCTGTCAATGTGCTGCTCAAACCCAATTGTGCCCTGCATGGATACAATTCACCAGGCACAATAAAAATGTTTTCCTCTACAAAATATTTAATGCTAGAGCCACATAATTGTCTTTATATTAAAAGTTGGGGTAACACTTCATTTTAAGGTACATGTACTTACTATAGTAATAATATTAAATGATGCATAATTACAACTAACCCTAACCCTATAGTAAGTAAATAACTATAGTTAATTAATACTCATGTAAAGCAAAATATACTATATTGCAAATCTCAGTTTGTTTGTCGCAAAAATGTACCTCTCTATAGCCTATATTAAGTGGGATATATTTATATCCAACTTTTTTTCACATACATACAGTATGCGAAAAAGGTACAGCAACATATAGTCTACTATATAGCAAATCCCAACTCTTTGATTGTTTACATCATCATAAAATGTAACTGTATAATCACATAGCTCTATATAAAGTTGAATATACAACTTTATATTGCATTCATATAGTACGCTCATGTAAAGCAACTACATACAGCAGCAAATGCCTGATTTTTTATTTAGTCACAAAATGCAACTAAACTATTGCCCAGCTCTTTATATAAAGTTGGATATACAGTATAAGTGTCCAACTTTATCCGCATGCGGTGATACTTTATATCAAATCTCAACTGCTTGATTGCTTGTATCGTGGAGAAATGTAAACTATAATCAGCTCTGATCTGCTGAATGTGACATGAAGATATCATAAACATTGAAATATGATTTTCTTTAAGGTTGTCGCTACAAATAAATTTGACTTGACATAATAGCGGCTGCTGGGACGCACCTTGGCCTTCCACATGAGCCAGAATTTGAAGATGTCTACATGTCTGCCACACTGGATGGCCTTGTCTCCGGTGTCGTAGTTCACGTCGTACTGTTTGTCTGGTTGGAAGAGATATCCGGCACACATGGAGTTGCAGCCCTGCAGAATGCCCTGAAACAGAAGCACAGCGTATTCAAGTCCCTCTCAAATGTGATCAGTAGCTGTATTAACTAAACCTGATCTACATGCATTCATTTAGCAGATGAATATATCCACATCAGTTAGGTGTGTAACTGCATAGCCAAGATTTTGGTTTAGACTTGTACACAGGGCCTTAAATGAACACTCGCCAAATAAAAATCGGCGTTGACGACGAGTATATGAAACGGTGTCACTCACCAGTTGGCCGGTAACATTTTTTTTTAATTCTAACAATGCATGAACTTGAACAAACTTGAAAGGGATAGTTCACTTTGAAATTAATTTTTGATATGTTTTATCTCAAGGGCATCCAAGATGTAGGTGTCTTTGTTTCCGCAGTAGTTTCAACTTTGATATTTTTAGGTCTTTTTAGGTAGATATTCATATAATGCAGGTCTATGGTCACCACCTCAAAGAGCATGCACAGAGAAGTCCAAATTAAACATGATTTAATGACTCGTAAATGTAAGTACACATTGATGGCCTAAGACACGAAACGAGCGGTTTGTGTGAGAAAACGAACAGTATTTATATCGTTTTTACCTCTTGTAAACACAGCCATGTCAAAGTGATCTGAGGGCGCGGGCGCTTCGGTCTGTGCGTTACAAGAGGTAAAAACGATATAAATACTGTTCGTTTTGTCACGAATTGTCAGGAAAGTTTAAGCCAAGACAATTTAAATATTCAAGCGCAAGAAGACGCAAAAGGGATACATTTCATTCCTCGCGCTAGTTGGAAAGTTTTGTTTGCGAATCCATCTGAAGCGTGCGCGCAGAAAGCCGCATGCGAACAAACACTAAACTAAGCTATCTTTCATGTCTTCTTGCACTGGAGCAGACAAATTCACACAAAATTATGTTGAAAGAAATAGCAAGTATCCTAACACTCTGATATGTCTTAAGTGAATGTAAACAATTGAGAAAGTAAACACATGTGTTTTAGGCCCCATAGTTTCAGCAGTGTATAGTGTAAATGCAAACATCGGATACGGGTCACTTTTAAAAGATGATGTAAGCGGGTCGTCCAAAAAATCGGATATAGTCAGAAAATCGGATTTGGGCATCAAGACCTGCAGTGTAAATGCAGCCTTAGTATCAGTATATTAGATCCATGCATTCGCTCTTATAGTGACAGCAGCCTAATATTCCTGATGCTGACTGTGTTTTTGTTGTCAATCAAACAACAAAGGACAAAGAAAAAAATCACTCACTGCTCTTGACTAAATAGCTTTTGTAACTTTAATAAGGATTAATTAATACAGATGTTTAATTTATACAGTGAAGACTATGCAATGGTGTTTTACATTTGCATACTTTTAGTACATTTCTGTAGCTGAAAACTACCGTCAGACCTGAAAAGCTCTGTTTATTTGATTTGTATATTTGTTATATTGTATTTATTTGTCCTTTTGCTTGTAATTTGATTATTTGTTCTTTTTTTTTTTTACTGGTCTTTAATAATGTTTTGAATGTGTATTAGTTAAGCTAGTAGTTTTAGCTGTGGTATCGAAATTGCAATAGAGAATTGTGTATTTTCACTTGTTAAAATGTAGGTGTCATAACTCCCTGTTTTTGCAAAAACAGTTTCATGGCTGGTAAAAAATATAGATGGCCATTACATTTTCTTAAGTCACCGGCCATTAGCAGGTTTTGGCTCTGCTTGTACATGTTCAATACTGTTCAGAGGTTTGGAGTTGGTAAGATTGTTGAATGCTTTTGACTTAAGTCTCTTCTGCTTATTTGATCAAAAACACTGTAAAAAAAATATTATTACAATTTAAAATAACTGTTTTCCATGTGAATATATGTAACTGTCATTTATTGATCAAAGCTGAATTTTCAGCATCATTACTCCAGTCTTCAGTGTCACATGATCCTTCAAAAATCCTTCAAATATGATGATTTGCTGCACATAAAATATTTCTGATTATTATCTATGTTGAAAACAGCTGTGCTGCTTCATATAAAACAAAATCCGGATTTTTTTTATGAAAAGAAAGTTCAGAAGAACAGCATTTGAAATAGAAATATTTTGATCAATTTTATTCAGCCCTTAATTTTATTTAGGGGGAAAAAACCTTTTGAACAATAGTGTATATGTCTGTTTATGTCCAAGTCTCACCTTGTCTCTAACCAGGATGGCTGAACATTGCAACGGTACTCCCATCATCTTATGAGGGTTCCACGTGACAGAGTTTGCCCTGAAACAAACAAACGAGAGGGGTTTCAGCTCACACTGCACCTTACCTGAGATATAGTCATTTTAGCACCTCAGCGCCGATGGTTTTTACACACCTCTCAACGCCGCTTAGCTTGTGACGGTGTTTCCTGGACATCAACAGTCCTCCGCCCCATGCGCCCTGGAGATTTACTCATTCATTTATTCAGTGATCCATACACTATATTCATGTATTTAGTTACCAGCGAATCCTGAAAGCACTGATTGAAAATGCATGCATTTGAGTCAAACTTACATCCACGTGCAACCACAGGTCGTACTTCTCGCAGATGTCGGCAATGTCATTGATGGGATCGAATGCTCCATATACTGTACTACCAGCCGTCGCATTCACAAACAGTGGCACGTAACCCTAAAATACACATTTAAAATCACATTCACTGTTGATAGTGCATGGCCTAAAGATAATGCCCGAACAGCAGAGTGCCACTTCATTAACTGAAGCACGTAAAGGTCAAATCATCCATCAGCTTGAGGAGGATACCTGCCCCAGTATTGATCCACTGAACTCTTCAGGCACAGAGGTTAAATACTCTCACTCACTTGTCTCAAGAGCACAGAACAGAGCAGTGTAGTCTGTGCATTTACACACCTTCTGTTTAGCATCAATGATCTTGGCCTCTAAGTCAGCAGGTATGACACGCCCCCTAAACAAGACAGCCAATTAGGTATAAGTGGGAGGGACTATAAAAGCAAATAAAACATGAGCTTTGAAAGAAAGTAACCAAGTGCTTGTATATATATATAGTTTTGAGCTTTTTATTCTTATGTAACTGACACAGAACTGTGCTGTCATGATACCTCTCATCTGTCTTCAGGAGAATGACGTTTTCTTTTCCAAATCCCAGTACAGCTCCAGCCTTTTTGATTGAGTAATGACTCTGCAAAAAAATAAGCAAGTGTTGCCAGTCAACCAAAATGGCCAAAATACTATAGATAGAATAGAATCAATTACTTACACTACAAAAATAAATATATGACCCCCAGAGGGCGACAAATCCTCTGTTTGACTGCCGTGTGTGTACTCACATGTTCAGATGTGAAGAGCACGAGTCGTGGTGCTGCTGACATGCCTTTGGTTTTGACTTCTGGGAAATACTTATAACGTGCAACCATCACACTGTACATGTTTGATATGGCACCACCTGTGAACAGATGAGCATTCAGTGTATTTCAGCGCCTCTCACATCACAGCTGTGTGAAATTAAACGTGTCAAAGGAATTAAGCCAACGTGAAAATACGTCATAATTTCATCATCAGCCTACCTATTTTTATGCATAATATATGGTCATTGTTTTTATTACATGTTTTGAGGGAACATCATACGTTTGTAATTGTAATATTAAATAATTTTGGATTATTTCGATTGATTTTACCTGGTGAGAAGAGTCCATCGCCATCCCCGTTCGGCCAGCCAATCATCTCTCTCATCTTCTTTAGGGTCAGCTGCTCCATCAGAACAAACACGGGCGCGATCTCATAGGTGAACCTGAACACAAACACCAAATGAAATATGGTCAATATGAGCTTCGTTTGAGATTAATATTTATGACAGTCATATTATGTAGTCACAAGAAATAGTTTTGTTTAGTTTAACAAACAAATCACAGTGTAAAGAAATGATCAATAATAAAACAAATTACACTTAAAAAAAATCACATTCACATTATTTTAATTGATGATTTTTGATTGGCGAGTTAGTTTTGGAACTCGATTCTGATTGGCTTTCCAAGAATGCTGATTGATAGATATGGCGTTACAATGTCAGGCTACAATAGCTACGCTTAAAATATGGAAGCATTATTTCCGCCACAGAATAAAAAAACAGACTTTTTTTCTCAAAATTGCATGATTTGACTCACAAATGCGATTTATAAAGTCAGAATTGGAGATAGCCTATAGCAACTCACAATTGCGCGAAAAAAAGTCAGAATTGCGAGAGTTTACTGAAACAAGCTTATACTGTGTGGTGTTTTTCTTTTAATTTTTTTTTAATGAAACTTGACTTGGTTATGAGGTTCGTTTGAGATTTATATTTATGACGTCCATAGCTCTCCAAATCGTCAAAATCAGGCAACAGCTTCTTCAGAGATTCACAGTCCCTGCAGACACTGTTCCAACAGAGGAATATTCTGTCCCTCTCGGCTGCTTTGAATATCGCTAATTAAAAGACGGCTGTGATAGACTAGATAAGGGCTCATTTCAGGGTGTTTTAATGAAGGGAGTCGGTATTCTGATGGCTATCTGTCCGTCTAAATGCAGGAGTAACTTCAGTCTGACGGGGGACAGCAGCGCACAAATGAGCGGACGGCTGTGCGCGCCTGATAAGAACACACTCCCGCACACATCCATCTCATTCAGACGAGAGAGGGACGAAAGTGTGATGAACACAAGTAGGACAGGGAACAGCCCCGGGCAGACACATTGTTCAGCTCCGTCACAAAAGGAACAAAGATTTAAGACAGTAAAAAATAACCGAGAATCATCAATAACATGCAGCTAAAACATGACTCCGGCTGTCATAATGTCATATAAATAGAACAATGTATTTTCCCGCAGTTCTTACACGTGTTGGATTTGACAAATTGCATTTTCATGTACAAAGGAGGAGAAATCAACCGGAAATTGAATACCTGTCTGAATATTGTGGCGGTGGCACAATGTATATCGGGACCTTTTACCATTGGACTATTATGAAATTGTGTCATATACATTTGCATACATAAAGTCATAATCACATGCTCACTATAGGCACAATACCTGATCAAGAGAACAAGAGATGAACCATCATTTTCGTTGTGACAGTGTCTTATTAATGGATAATAACATTTAATTGAAAAGTGATTTTTTGAGTAAATACTGTGTGTAAAAAATGTCTCATCTCATTTGCTGTATAATGCACTGAATATATCAGCATTATATTGGCCAATATTGGTCTCTAGATATCAATATCGGCATTAACCACTGAAAATCGTTTATCATAGAGACAAAAGGGCTTTTAGCAACACCCTAAAACCCACACAAGCTCGATGAAATCCCAAGAAACCAGCCAAAACACCACTTACATTTTATGTAAAAATCTCTTTTTTGTCTTTTATGTGAAGCTATTTTGAGGGTGTATGAATACTTCTTTGTGTGTGTGTGTGTGTGTGTGTGTGTGTGTGTGTGTGTGTGTGTGTGTGTGTGTGTGTGTGTGTGTGTGTGTGTGTGTGTGTGTGTGTGTCAGTCCATTAGCTGCCGGTCAGTGTGTGTCACCGTTGATGAGAAATAATGGGTCTAAATTAGTCACGGTGAATAATGACAGAATAAGCAGCATTTGCAGCATGTCCATTCACAGAACAGGACACTCCCCACTCTCTTCTCACAAAGCCCTTTGTGTGTGTGTGTGTGTGTGTGTGTGTGTGTGTGTGTGTGTGTGTGTGTGTGTGTGTGTGTGTGTGTGTGTGTGTGTGTGTGTGTGTGTGTGTGTGTGTGTAGCAGCAGCTGAAGCGACAATCTCAGCAGTGCAGAAATGAAACATTCTAAAACATTGCAGGTGAAATCCTTCAAAATGGGGCAGAGAGCAGTGGGAGGCGAACACAACAGCTTTATCCCTCGAGCCACAGGACGGCATAATGTGGGAGAGAAGGAAAAATGTTTATCCCGAGATTTTGAGCGTCTGAGAAAGCTTCAGCGTAAGAGTGAAGAACTAATCAACAGAGAGACTCCCACACTCTCATCTAGTGAACTAACACACCTCTGCCATTCGTACTTCACGTATAAAAGCACTGTCATGACTCCATCTACCATTCAATACAAATATAGTGCTTTTTAACATCATGCTTTACAGGAATAAAATATGAAGAAAGGGCAAAATTCAAGGTTTAATACAGGAAACCGGCCAACACCATCGATCACCTCTTGACTTCTCAAATGTCAGCAGCACTTGTGGATGTTTTTATTTATACTGTTAAAGCAAATGTCACAAAGAAAACACTATGCTTGGTGTCTACTGCATAAGAAACAAAATGTGAACAATGAATTCAGATATGGTGTTCATATTAGGATTGTGATGTACTCAGTCAAACAAATAGTGTTATTCATGAAAAGCATGAAAAAAAGCTAAATTGTAAACACACATATTGGGTCAAATTGGGTAAAGTTGTTGCTTTGTCAGCCTCATTAAATGTTTTTCACTGAGCTTATCTCTCTGGGACTGGCTTTTTATATGCGCCCTTCAAGTTGGAAATATTGGAATTCCGAGTTCTAAGCAGATAAATGACTGAGCAATGTCATATTTACAAGCGGGAAACTCGGAATTCTACCAGTTGCCAAGTTGTGATGTCATAAGGGGCATGTCAAACTGAAACACCGATCTATCATATAGATAATAAATGGGAAGCAAGTCTATCCACCTTATTTGGCACCTTGTTCATAGACATACGATTCACGAGGCGCTGTAAATAACTAAAAGAATAACAAAGAGCAGTTAACAGTAAAACTATTTGCACTACAAAGCAGTGTTTATGATTATGATAATAAATTAAAATATTATGATATGTCAAATGCCAGTCGCAACATAGGGCTTAGTCAGGTAAAATACCAACACATTCTCATCCCAAGGCGTCATCTAACTGACACTTTTGACCATGCGTCAACATGCCGACGCACATGGTACTTAAGCGTCAGTTAGATGATGCTTCCGTTATGGGTAGGTTTAGGTCTGAGGTAGGGTTAGGGTTAGACCACTAGGAGGCGCGTCTCATATTGACGCTTAAGGGGTACCATGTGCGTCGGCATGTTGACCATGGTCAAAAGCGTCAGTTAGATGACGCCTTGGGATGAGAATGGGCTGAAAATACACTCAAAAAATGATTTATTGATGCCGTCCACTTTATTTAAAGGGGTCATATAATGCCATTTTTGTACAAGCTAATATGATTCTTTAGGGTCTAAATTAAAAGTTTGTAATATACTTTAATTAAAAATTCTCATTAGTATTGTAAGAAAACACTTATTTTACCTGGTAAAAACAGCTCTGTTTTCAGCACGCCTGCGCACATCAGAGCCGGCTCTGGCGTACACCGTTTGTAACACAATAACACAATAACCATAATACGTTGTTCAGTATAAACGTGGGATTATGCATTATATTGAGAACGTCATACATAGAAAACATGCCGTAATGTACCCTGAGTGTAAACCTTAGACGCATTCATTGTGAAGCGTGCATCTAGCGATTTACAAGGATTAATATAAATATTAATATAAAGTTTAATAAAACGTTACACTCACTTCAGTTGTTCTGGAGATTCAGCAGGAACACGAATATCTGGTACCGATCCTTTATTCAGGAGCAGCTTCTTAGCAAAACCAGCTTTATACTGACCCTCGTTTATAAAGCAGTCTGCTGAGAAATGATTCGCGCAAACATGAGAGCATTGACGTTGCTCGTGGGGAATATTCCCTTCGAAAACAAACTCAGCCACTGCGTCTTCAGCGGTTCGGATTCAGGAACATTAAAATGACTGTGTTCGTTATTACACCCAAGAACAGAACACCACAATCGCTTAGACGCCATTCTTCTCATAGACAGTGCTCCAGCATATCAACAATGACCGCGCCGGTCCGCGCAGACTATGATTGACAGCTGGCTCACGAGCGAGGGCGGGTCTGTGTTGAAACGCTCCTGTCAATCAACAATCGTGGGAGGGGCTTCCGAGCGTGTGACGTCACATGGTCGAACGGCTCGATTTGAGACTGGGGAAAACATATAAGGAGATTAAAACAAAAACACTGGATGGATTTTTATCATTATCTGATGGTTGTGTACAGGCACTGCCAACACACATTTCAGTACAATCAACTTGTAAAAGTGCATGTACCATTATATGACCCCTTTAAATAATTAATTTAGTTTGAACTCTGTTGTATCAGGTTTCTCATTCAAACACGGTTGCATCATGTTAAACTGTTTTCATGTTGAAAGAACAATAGCTCGATCAAATATGAAAAACAGCATTTTCATTTGCCCATTGCACGTGGTGGGATAAGAGTAGTAATAAAGTGTTATTTTATGCATTTTTAGTAAGATTAGAAAATGTTAATGTTCTATTATGTTGTAGCCTATATAAAATGGTTATGTTGATGCTGGAATTGCACATTTACGTTACAAATGACCTAATCCGCTCTTCCGTTAAAAATGATGTCAAGTTAATCAGTTTGCTTAATGTAATAACATTTAGTTGTGATACCATGTACATGCGACATGCACGATACAAGTGCATAGAAATGAATAATCGTCACAATTTTGAATTCAGATAGTTATTTGGGTTAATTGTTCGCAGTAAAAAAAAAAATTCTTTCGTTTAGGCTCCTTCCATTCCTGCATGGCAGCATTACATGTTCTACTGCTTTAGATTTAGTCCAAAATGGGATACAGGGCAACATAAACAGATTTCATGTCAGAAGAGCATCTATGATGCCCTAAAATACTGGAGCTCACTTTATTTAAACAGACCCTATAAATACTTTAATGTTTTCAGCTCTGCTCTTTTCTCTCTTTTGCTCTCCTCCTCTTCGTATGTGGCATGAATTAGCTTAAGAGGATATTAATCAAAGTAATTCCCTATTGCAAAAACCCGTTGTTCATAGTTATGGCTATTTAACAAGGCCTTTCTCACCGTAAGTGACTTCTATTATAAGAAGCTCTCTGTTTATATTAAGAAAGACAGCTGTAATGAAGTGCTCGGTCCTCTGAGATCAAAATGGCCTCTGGGAGTGAAACTCGATGGCCAGACTGTTCAGCCCGCAGGGACACACACTCTCTCCGACTGGCTGGTCCCAGCTGGCACACACTTCCTACCAGCCCACAGTCACACACAATCAATGGGCTGTTAAATAGATTTGGTACAAGTCCATTCTGTGCTTTAGTGTTGTAAGACTCTTCAGTGCTGCACAGTCATAGCTTCATGAAAAAAAAAACCATCAGCTTCAGCTTTATAAATGGGATAAAAGGCTCATTTTCACCTGATGAACTGGTTATAAAGGCTATATCTAAGTCTTGTTGCACAAATCCTTGTTTTTTTTATCAGTGGTAATGATTTGGGTGTGCACTTCTGCTTCCATCGCCCCAATGTCAATGGGAATTTTGTTAAATGTCTGAAATGTCTGGTGAACACAAGCTCAAGGTATCTTCACGTTTGATTCTACAACATCGGTAATACCCCACTTGTGATTTGTTAAAGTTTTACTTGTCTTGAAAAAGGTGGTTGCTGTCAAGTGTCTCAATGGGACTATAGAGGTTGTCGGGGACATTAAACATCATCAGCCAAACAGAAACTCGTCTACTCACTAGCTTTCACAGCCTTGCTGTATTTATAATCATGCTCTTGCAAACTATTCTAACTCAAACTTTCAGGGAAAATGCTTTTAAATAAGTGCTGAAAGAGCTGATGCTTAATGCTGGTGATGTTGAAGTCATGTGGCCGTGGTGTAGTTCGTTTATAGATTGTATTTAGGCTTCAAAAGTTGTGTTAATTTGTAAAGGTTATCATGATGGAATCATAAACTGTTGTTGGTCACAGTTTGTCGAGGGAACCAGTGTGATGCTAACTTCTGGGATGACCAACACAAATAAATCATCCCTGCAGCCAGCGCTCTATGCCTATGTGTTTTCTGCAACTTAAAAAGGAAAAAAGAAATCTATGTGTCAGTGCAATCTATACTATCGTTTCTTTCCTAATCACCTTTGCACTTCGCATGAGCAACTCATCAGACAGAAATGTCCAATAAAACAGCTCAAGTCAATTTGCTCTTTATATCATGTAGCGCAGCGCCCAAATGTGTAACTCTATGTGCTGATCAATATGCAATCTCACACGCCTGGAGGGCACCGGGTGTTCCAGCAATCAGAGACATCACTCGATGCAGAGTTGACAAAGACAGCGCCTCTAGCCATAGCGTTCAAACAAACCCTTTACATAACCTCAGAGCCACGGAAACACTTACATATGTATCACAAACAACATGTTATTTCCAAATGACCCCACCGAGGGGAGAGGACAGGAGAGGAGAGGAGGAGAGAGGAGAGGAGAGGAGAGAAGAAGAGAGGAGAGGAGAGGAGAAGAGAGGAGAATAGAAGGGAGGAGATGAGAGGAGAGGAGAGGAGAGGAGAGGAGAAGAGAGGAGAATAGAAGGGAGGAGATGAGAGGAGAAGAGAGGAGAGGAGAGGAGAGGAGAGAGGAGAGGAGAGAAGGAGAGAGAAGAGAGGAAAGAGGAAAGGAGAGGAGGAGAGAGGAGAGGAGAGGAGAGGAGAGAAGAAGAGAGGAGAGGAGAGGAGAAGAGAGGAGAATAGAAGGGAGGAGATGAGAGGAGAGGAGAGGAGAGGAGAGGAGAGGAGAGAAGAGAGGAGAATAGAAGGGAGGAGATGAGAGGAGAGGAGAGGAGAGGAGGAGAGAGGAGAGGAGAGAAGGAGAGAGAAGAGAGGAAAGAGGAAAGGATAGGAGGAGAGAGGAGAGGAGAGGAGAGGAGAGAAGAAGAGAGGAGAGGAGAGGAGAGAAGAGAAAAAGAGAGGAGAGGAGAGGAGAAGAGAAGAGAGGAGAGGAGAGGAGAGAAGAAGAGAGGAGAAGAGAGGAGAGGAGAGGAGAGGAGAGGAAAGGAGAGGAGAGGAGAGGAGAGAGGAGAGGAGGAGAGAGAAGAGAGGAAAGAGGAGAGGAGAGGAGGAGAGAGGAGAGAGGAGAGGACAGGAGGAGAGAGGAGAGAGGAGAGGAGAGGAGAGGAGGAGAGAGAAGAGAGGAGAGAGGAGAAGAGGAGAGAGGAGAGGACAGGAGGAGAGAGGAGAGAGGAGAGGAGAGGAAAGGAGAGGAGAGGAGGAGAGAGGAGAGGAGGAGAGAGGAGAGGACAGGAGGAGAGAGGAGAGAGGAGAGGAGAGAGGAGAGGAGAGGAGGAGAGAGAAGAGAGGAGAGAGGAGAGGAGGAGAGAGGAGAGGACAGGAGGAGAGAGGAGAGGAGAGGAAAGGAGAGGAGAGGAGGAGAAAGGAGAGAGGAGAGGAGAGGAGGAGAAAGGAGAGAGGAGAGGAGAGGAAAGGAGAGGAGAGGAGGAGAAAGGAGAGAGGAGAGGAGAGGAAAGGAGAGGAGAAGAGAGGAGGAGAGGAGAGGAGAGGAAAAGAAATGACAGGAGAAGAGAGGAGAGGAGGTGAGAGGAGAGGAGAGAAGAAGAGAGGAGAGGAGAGGAGAGGAGAAGAGAGGAGAGGAGAGGAGAGAAGAAGAGAGGAGAATAGAAGGGAGGAGATGAGAGGAGAAGAGAAGAGAGGAGAGGAGAGGAGAGGAGAGGAGAGAGAAGAGAGAAGAGAGGAAAGAGGAGAGGAGAGGAGGAGAGAGAAGAGAGGAGAGAGGAGAGGAGGAGAGAGGAGAGAGGAGAGGAGAGAGGAGAGGAGAGGAGGAGAGAGAAGAGAGGAGAGGAGGAGAGAGGAGAGGACAGGAGGAGAGAGGAGAGAGGAGAGGAAAGGAGAGGAGAGGAGGAGAGAGGAGAGGAGGAGAGAGGAGAGGACAGGAGGAGAGAGGAGAGAGGAGAGGAGAGGAGGAGAGAGAAGAGAGGAGAGGAGGAGAGAGGAGAGGAGGAGAGAGGAGAGGACAGGAGGAGAGAGGAGAGAGGAGAGGAGAGGAAAGGAGAGGAGAGGAGGAGAGAGGAGAGAGGAGAGGAGAAGAGAGGAGAGAGGAGAGGAGAGGAGGAGAGAGGAGAGGAGAGGAGGAGAGAGGAGAGGAGGAGAGAGGAGAGGACAGGAGGAGAGAGGAGAGAGGAGAGGAGAGGAGGAGAGAGAAGAGAGGAGAGGAGGAGAGAGGAGAGGAGGAGAGAGGAGAGGACAGGAGGAGAGAGGAGAGAGGAGAGGAGAGGAAAGGAGAGGAGAGGAGGAGAGAGGAGAGAGGAGAGGAGAAGAGAGGAGAGAGGAGAGAGGAGAGGAAAGGAGAGGAGAGGAGGAGAGAGGAGAGAGGAGAGGAGAGGAGGAGAGGAAAGGAGAGGAGAGGAGGAGAGAGGAGAGAGGAGAGGAGAGGAGGAGAGAGGAAAATAGAAGGGAGGAGATGAGAGGAGAAGAGAGGAGAGGAGAGGAGGAGAGAGGAGAATAGAAGGGAGGAGGAGAGAGGAGAGGAGGAGAGAGGAGAATAGAAGGGAGGAGAGGAAAGGAAAGGAAAGGAAAGGAGAGGAGAGGAGAAGAGAGGAGAATAGAAGGGAGGAGATGAAAGGAGGAGAGAGGAGAATAGAAGGGAGGAGAGGAGAGGAGAGGAGGAGAGAGGAGAATAGAAGGGAGGAGATGAGAGGAGAGGAGAGGAGGAGAGAGGAGAGGAGGAGAGAGGAGAATAGAAGGGAGGAGATGAGAGGAGAAGAGAGAGGAAGAGAGAGGAGAGGAGAAGAGAACAGAAGAGAGCAGAGAAGAGGAGAGGAGAGGAGAGGAGAGGAGAGGAGAAGAGAATAGAGAGAGGAGAAGAGAGGAGAGGAGAAGAGAGGAGAGGAAAAGAAATGACAGGAGAAGAGATGAGAGGAGAAGAGAATAGAATAGAGGAGAAGAGAAGAGAGGAGAGGAGAGGAAAAGAAATGACAGGAGAAGAGATGAGAGGAGAAGAGAATAGAGGAGAGGAGGAGAGAGGCTGATCTAACTCACATGTTAGTGTTGGCAGTAGAGGTGAGCCATTCTCCAGCGAGACCAATGATGTCCAGTCCAGATGAAAGCTGGTTGAAAAATCTAGGATGACCTGAGAAGAGATTTTACAGGAATTGTAAGAACAGAAGTGCAAGTTAATACTCTTTAATATCATAACATTAATCAACCAGACCATAAATACTTTCTGTATAGACCGCTGTTCAGGAGTCTGGGGTTGGATTCTTTTTATGTTTTTGAAATAAATCTCTAATGCTCACCTACATTTATTTGATCAACAATACAGTAAAAACAGTAATATTGTGAAATATTATTAACATTTCAAATAATTGTTTTACATTTGAAATGATTGTAAAATGTCATTTATTCCTGTGATGCAAAGCTGAATTTCCAGCATCATTCCTCCAGTCTTCGAGATACACTGATGTGTGTTTGTGATGTCACTGGCCTGTACCTGTTCTCACTCCATACTTGAGCGTGTCTCTGCAGTCCACCAGGATCTGCTCCAGCGACTCCGGTTGATCCGACAGCTCCAGGTTGAAGCCCTCCATCCCCTCCAGGAGCTGGTGAGGGTGATGGAAGTCCAGCACTTTGGTGGATCTGTCGAAGGTCTTGCGAACATAATTGGTGAGGATCTCCACCACTTCCAGAAGAAACTGGATTGTGGGTTCCTCGCCATTTTTAGCAGGCAGTAGATCTAGAATAGAGGCAGCATGTAAAGATAAGAAGTGTTTTCATTTATAAAATTGAAATATTAGTGGGGTTGAAGTGATGGAGGTGAAAAGTCTGAATCCACACTGAAAATGTGGGATTTTTCCATTGGACATTTCTAGGTCACTAGTCAATCATGTGAATGAAAGAAGACTCTTATGCTCACCAAGCCTGCATTTGATTAAAAAAAAAAAATACAGAAAAGTATAGTAATGTTGTGAAATATTATTACAATTTAAAATTATGGTTTTCCATTTTAATATACTTTAAAATATAATTTATTTCTGTGATGCAAAGCTGAATTTTCAACATCATTACTCCAGTCTTCAGTGTCAGAAATCATTATGCGTATTTGATATTAGTTATTATCAATGTTGGAAACATGTTATTTTTTAATCTGTGATTTTTGTTAAAACAACAGCATTTATTCAAAATAGAAATATTTTCTAACAGTATAACCTTTATCGCTTTTCAAATAAATAAAGAAAAAAATTACTGACCCCAAACTTTTGAATGTAGTGTATATTGTTGCAAAATATTTATATTTTAAATAAATGCTGTTCTTTTAACTTTTTAATTCATCAAAGAATCCTAAAAAAAGTATCACAAGTTGTAAAAAAAACAATATATTAAGCAGCACAACTTGTCTCCAACATTGATAATGTATAGGCATCAGATCATCATATTAGAGTGATTTCTGAAGGATCATGTGACTCTGAAGACTGGAGTAATGATGCTGAAAATACAGCTTTGATCACAGGAATAAATTACATTTGAAAGTAGGCCTATATTAAAATAGAAAACCATTATTTTAAATTGTAATAATATTTCACAGTATTACAGTTTTTCTGTATTTTTGATCAAATAAATGCAGGCTTGATGATTATCAGAGACTTCTTTTAAAAACATTAAAATAGTAATGTTTCAAAACTTTAGACCGGTTCTGTCGCCTATATATAATGCTTTTAGTTTATATACAATGCGACCATTCAATTCTTTTTCTTTAACTTCTAATTGTTATATTTTCTGATGAAGCAACAATGCGCTAGATTGAAATGTGGCACTGAGAGCGAGAAGTGTGTGTGGTGGTGTGTGTGTTCACCTCGAGCGAACAGGTTGGAGAAGTCCGTCTCGTCGCGTGTGTAGCGCTCGCTGTTGTCGCGCGTCAGCTGGTTCCTCGCGCTCTCCTTGAACGCGCCCACCATACGACTCTTCTCATCCAGACTGTTGTTCTTCTGCAGGAAACCTGCATCATTACAACACGGGGGAGAGTTGCAAAACATATCCTCAGCCTTGATAATGGATGCTATGGACAAAAGTTGTAGGCTATCTCTACGCGCTGATATTTATACCTGGTGATTCCAGTGACTGGGGTTTTAGTGGGACAGCGCTATTTATGGATTGGTTGAGGTTCAGTTCAGATGTGCTACTGTATGACATCAGAGGACATGTAGGGTGTGTTTTTTTTTTTTTTTTTTTTTTTGGAACATGAAACCCGGTCGAGTTTGGCTATATCATCCTTCACAGATTCCGCGTGACTGACCAGATGCTCATCATGTCATTAACAGCCGACAGGCACATTCAATAGATCCATCGAGGATGTTTTATTGGAACATCATGAACATGAACACACATGTTAGGCAAAGCAGAAAGACCTACTTAAGAGAGTCAAACCCAAAAAATACAAAATAGCCTGTTTTTCGTTCATAGTGCATGCATTCTTTATTATTTCGACTGATTTTATTTATGAAGGTCTGCGTAAAGCTATTGTAAAACATGGGTCACAGATGGTTAGCAAGATTATAAAGAATATTTTTCAATATTTCACAGCATATTTCCTTAGAGCATCCGCCTTTCGGTCACGAGGGCCCGGTTGTGTTATCTCTTTCATTTTGAGCTGGACTATCGCACAATATTATCAGAGAGAGCAGGCCTGCGTTAATACTCGCCTCTGCCACCCTCAGCCCATCTCTCATTCAGGCTCGGTTCTGATAAGAGCTAATGACTATTCGATGCCGTAAATCTTTGGAGATTCGCTCCACATCAATAGGCGACACGACTTCATTGCGGCTATCAAATGGGTTTTTTTTTTCTGTTTTCTCTCGTGCTAAAGACCAAATCTCTCTCTTTTTCTCATGCTAAAGGATTTTTTTTGTCTTCACAACAACGTCGAGCATGTTTATTGCGCATGCAATTAAGATACAAATAGCAAATTATTTACATTTTTTATACGCCGAATCTTCTCATTAAAAAATATGATTTTATTTGAGCAATGGTTTACACACTGGATAAGGCATTCATTTCGTTTCTTTAAATCGTTAAGATGAGTCTATTCAGATCCATTTCTGCATGAGCTCTCTCTCTTGTTTTACAGTGTCATTGTTACATATGTTACATGTAGTTACTACAATAAATTATGCAGAATTACACGCAACTAACCCTAAATTAAACCTAACCCTATAGTAAGTATATTTAGTTCATTAATATTACTCAGTACTTAAATATATAATTACAAAGACACCTTAAAATAAAGTTTAATCAAAATAAATAAAAAATACACATAAATGAATGCATATAGAAACAAATTAACAAAAATATAGATAGATAGATAGATAGATAGATAGATAGATAGATAGATAGATAGATAGATAGATAGATAGATAGATAGATAGATAGATAGATAGATAGATAGATAATAATTTGACTAATTATTTACACGCTTTTTAAATGAGTTCAAACGACAGCAGAATATTAAGCTGAGGGCGCGAAAATTCCAGATATTGTTTATACATCAACAATTTTAATGATCATTCAGTTTTTTCCCCTTAGGTTTTAGCATGTAATACATATTACTAATTAGATTAATGTGGTTTTGCAATAACCAGGGCATAATTCTCCATACATGTTCATGTTTTAAACAAAAAGCACACAAGGTAAAAAAATAAATCGAGAGGATCTGGCCTTGAAATACACAAGAGTAAAACGATGTAAAGTTCAGCAGGAGTCAGAGTGGCCACATCCTCCCAGACGTCATCCTCTTAAAAACACCCAATCCTCTTCCCATCTTTTAGCAGGCTATAAAGAGCAGTGTGGCGTAAAAAGACAAGTCGAGAGAGAGAGAGAGAGAGAGAGAGGGAGAGCACCACCCACCAGGAAACTAATAGAGAGCAACACAGGCAGACCCTTTTTTCTCCTGATATATAGAGTTTCAAATCCAGTTACGAAAACCTATCTAAGTGACCGTGAGAAAATATTTCCATCCAGACAGTGATGATTCACACTCTCTACGGGCTATTTTTCTCTTCTCTTGCCTAACAACCTACACAAATCGTGCCTCCAACTCGGGGCTTTATTTGTCAGTTGTCAGTTGACATATACTGACAGTTTTTTCTGTCAGTATATGTCAGTTATTTATTTATTTATTTTTGTCCAGAAAATAATAATGAGAGTGAACAAGGGGTGATACGGGGGAACAAAAGACTAGACCTGTTCACACACTCGCCTACAGGGCAAATAACAGCTCGCTGACCTTTAGTGTGATGGAAACACGCAACGACAGTCTCGTGCTCCATATCTAGGGCATATGTATTCAAACCTGGGTCAACAGAGCAACAACAGCATGGATAAAGGTGCCCTCCACTTTGGCACCTTGACTGACCTCAAGACTGAAATAATGTTGGCACTGTAACTTACCACAGATCTTCATGCCCAGTTTCCTCGTGCATCCGTGCGCAACCCCGTACCACGCGTCGCCGGCTAAAACGAGACGTTTGGAGAGCTGTTCAACATCCCAGAGTTTATTCTATTCTTAATGCTATGGGAGATGCTGTAGAAAGCGCAAAATTAAGGGTCAACATGCATTGACGCAGAAGACAATGAATGTGCGCAACAGATTCGGGTCTTTGCCGAACGTGTGTCTTTTTTCTCCTTCTATGTGTCTATTTCAGGTTTTTTGAAAGGGCTTGATTTTCGCCAAGCGATCAATAGAGGCTATCAGAGAGGCAGGCCGCTAATAGATGGTGGCACACATCCGGCAAAGAGGCGGTTTAAAATAAGCGGGCATGAAATGAGGTCTCGGAATTAATTGAGTGAATCGCTTGTGTTTGACTTGCAGCCGTCACACAGTGAGCCTAGAGAGAGGAAATACACCACTCGAAAAAACACACGAATGACCTCTAGCATTAGTGACCAGACAGATGCAGCCATAAAGTTTAGATGCTGATACAATGGAAAATGAAATAAAATGAACAGTCACTCACAGCAGTAAGCATTTGCACATTGAACATGAATTCAGCAAGGACAAATATCATTTATATAAACAAAATGGTGCAAGTGTGTATATAGAGCGATAAGAAACGAAGGGGAATTATTATTATTATTATCGTCAATAGTTTGAAATGAATGTATCTCTGGGGTGGGTTTTGTCTGAGGGCAGATCTAGCTCGATCTGCCCCAGGCGCGCGCTGTCAGATGAGGCAGAGACAGCGCGCGCCCCTCAGGTCAGTGAGCGTGAGATAGAGCTTGGCAGGGAGATAATAGCAAAACACGCGCACGCACACACACAACAAAACAGCACAGCACAACACATAATGCTTTTTACAATTTATATCAAAATTCATATAGCAGAAAAAACATTGGTAGCCTACTACATCTTCATATTCTTGCACTATTTTTTTAGCATGACATTTTGATTTATTTTGTATCTATCTTACCTAATCAAATCAGATCAAACCAGTTTATTTTATGTATTTTTATTTTTAAAAAAATCTTGACTCGGGCATTTTCAGCATATTTACAAAGGAAAATGTGAATTGGACCGTGATGGCGGGTAATTTCTATAATTGCGCTATTAAGGTGGGTCTGTTAGAGCAGACGATGGCTGATTGCTGTTCTTCAAGCTCCCATAAAACGTGGCAAAATGCAGAGCTATTGTTATAAGATCGGGACCATAATTAAATGCAATTAGGCAGAAGCAGGATGCTCTTATTTGAGAGTAAAATTAAGTATACAATTTGCATGCTATTTTCATTTGTAATCTGCAGAACTGAGACTAAAACTATCTAGAAAAATAGGAAAAATAAAATAACGGTATAAGATTATTATTATTATTATTATTACTACATCTATATAGGCTACATCGATCTCCCTGCAATTGAAGAATTGACATTTTTATGACAAAAACTATAGTCAAATATAATTAAAACTATAATATCGTATTGCAATAATCTTTTTTGTAATAAAACGATAATCAGGGGTTCTCGTTTTAATATCAATTCAATTTAAAAATGCTTTATTGGCATGACTGTAAACTATCTATCTATCTATCTATCTATCTATCTATCTATCTATCTATCTATCTATCTATCTATCTATCTATCTATCTATCTATCTATCTAAAGATAATTTATTATTTGTCTCTCAAGCTGTCAGCTAATAGACATCTCACACGGCACGGTGTGTTTTTCAGGGCAGTGATGAACATCGCCACCCCACGGAGTAAACAAGCCAAGTGAAAAACGCGTTATCCAGAGAGACCTACTTGTGGCAGGTTGTCGTAAATTAGCCGTGTTTGGGTCCATATCACCAGCCGAGGAAGAAGGTGCAGAAGACGCCATCAGTCCTGGAGAAACACCTCACTGCTTTCAGACTGAAGGAAAAAACCCACACTACACACGGAAAATGTGTAGAAATTAGGATAAACAAAGTGATGGCACAAATTACAGTTGCTTATATAAAAAAAAGACTGGCTAATATCTCATATAAAGTATAAAGAGTACTAGCTATATAAAAATAAGCGTTTTTTTTCTAGCACAATTTCACGCATCAAATTCTCCTTATGAAATGGCAGTAATTCACTCCGCGTCACCGGGATAATTTGTCTAGCGCCACGCGCGCGCGCGCTCAGTGTTCTGTCATGTTCAGAAATGCGCTCTGACAGAACAGCGCACATTACAGCACGAGAAAGAAAAAACACACCTAAGAAATAACGAAAAGAACGGTAGGTAAGTTCTGAAGATAGTCCGACCTATATAAGTTGGTATTTTGGATGGCTGTGTTCTCCAGACGCCCCTGTGAGCTCCAGCGCGCAGCAGACCGTGAAGTCTGACTTAATTGGCTCTGTAACGAGGTCTTTAAATCGAATCATTTAAAACGAAGAATCTGTTCACTTCAACCGCAGCATAACAAAGGCGACGAATCAGGACAGAAATAATCATTTGAACGTATTGGTGACGATGATAAATAATATTTCTTTGTTACAGATGATCAGAAGCTTAAACGATGCTCGCAAAAAAAAAAAAAAAGAGAGAATGTATAGAAAAGGAGCTACTTATTGATTTCTCAATTAAGATGATCTTTAAATATCCTCAAATAATGCGCATCAATCACTGTCGGAGTTAGTGAAATATGGGCAAAAAAATCATTGCGCTGCTCATGTGTTAAATTACACCATGTTTTTAGATCATTATTTTGCCAGACGCGTTCCAGTATGAACACAGAAACTGGTTTAAATCTCTACATGCATTTATTATAACTGAATACAAAAGGCACAGTTCAGTTTATGCTCTTCTTTCTCATATTGTTATCTTCCCAATATTGTAGAAAAGAAAAAAAGGGCTTAGATCAGAACGCAGAAGGTGAGCGCTTACCTTGCGAAGTCACAGGTGTCACAGTAAAATCCAGAAAAATGGCACGTGGAGGATGTTTCACAGCGCGTGATGATGTGGCGGTGAGACACTTGATATTAGAAAACCAGAAGAGTGCACAAGAAAATAAAAATCCATCCAGCGCCAAATTCCTGATTCAGTGTTTATCCTTCCAAAGGCGAGAGGAGAATCTCCCAAATTCACTTCAGCTGTATTTTTCCACGGGTTAATATCCACGGGTACTTTCTGAGGATTATTATATGGACTCAAGTCATCAGACACATGAAGTTTAATTCTCCAAGTAATATATACACACACGTCAAAATAGCGTGGGAGTGAGAAAACGGTGAGTGAGAGAGAGAGGGAGAGAGAAAGAAAGGCAGATACATCATGAGGACGAGCTCACATTTTTATGGTTGTTGTTGTTTTGAAAGGACGCAATGAACAAATGAAAGCATTCAATCCTAATGTAAAAAAAAATGTTTTTTTTTTCTTCATTTAATGCACGACTTGTGGATCAGCTCCAGTTATCACCTATTCGAGACATCTGGAAGACATCCACGAGGTGGCAACAGAGAACAGACCAACTTGAACTTGAATGAAGGATTTTGGGCAGCGCCCTGGAAAAACACTTGAGCTGCTCTGTTCATGTCTGTAAGATCGTTCATTTTTAAACCTCTACCTATCCAGCTTGTCAGTACTGGTTTCCACTGTCTGCCGCAGTTTCAGCCCCTGGACAGCTCCACGGGGTCAAGAAGAGAGAGACCGGGGCTAGTTGTCACAACTTCTCACTCCAGTAGGTTTTTATGATAGTCAGTTTCTGTACATTAAAGTCCTGACAACAAAAAGCATTTGAAAGCGTATATATCATTATCTTAACGCATGGAACGATCGGTTTTATTGTGTTCACCTGTGCAACAGATATTTAAAAAATAGTATACATTTTACTCTAGAGTCTAGAGGATAAAAAAATCACAAAAATTACTATAAGACTTAGTCTATAACTGGACTTCTGTCTCCAAATATTATAGTTGCTGAGATGAGCCTTTTTTTTTTTTTTAAATACAGCCTTCTTGTGTGACAACTGGCCTCGGTCATATGTGTGAAACAGTAGTGTTATTTTTCCTCCATCAGATGGCGCTAAAATGTCTTGCGCTGTCTGAACAACTAAACAGAAAAAGTCAAGTAGGGAAGAGCTATTTTATTTATTATCCTAATATAGGCCTGGTTTCACAGACTGGGCTTAGAGTAAACCAGCATCAGGCCTTAGTTCAATTTAAGTAGCTTTTATAAATGTGTCTTAGAAAAAGCATTGCTGGTGTGCATCCTGAGACAAAATAATGGCACTGATATTTTAAGATATGCCAGTGCAGGTTGCGTTCAGTTAAAACAGCTCTAACATGCATTTTAGCTTAAGGCTTGTCTGTGAAACCGGGGTTAGATTACAATTCATGCAGAATATAATTGAATGTCCAGTCAGTATTTGACATATCTGCGCATACATAATATTCTGGACACATCACACATTGTTTATAAGCATAAGAATTATTAAAACAACACAGTGCATGACTGTGGGAAACGCACCTCACTAGATTGTTTGTTGTTTATTCATGATTAAGATGATAATGTATCATCTGTGCTTTCAGTGGACTCTTCATCTGTGTCAGAGCTATCTGTGGACTCATCGTCATCATCCTCAACGTCATCTTCATCATCATCAGATGTGTCAAATTCATCATCATCATCATCATCCGATTCCTCCTCCGCTTCTAGAATTTACCAGGGTATCCAGATGAAGAAGGTGAATTCAACACACTTGAATTTCATTATTAAAGTTACCCATTTGGAACATTGCTTTTATTTAATTTTCATTCATGCCTGTAGTGCTTCACAAAACATTTTTGTTTAAAGCAATTTAGAGATATATATATTTATGTTAATTCAAAAACTAAAGAGGAAAGTTTTAGTGAATCTTGAGATTGTCATAAAAATGTAAATGCTTCAATTTGAGTGGAAAACAAAGTGGAACTACATGTCAAAAGTGGATGGATGGATGGATGGATGAATTTATATATATATATATATATATATATATATATATATATATACTGTATATATAGATAGATAGATGATGGATGATAGATGAATTGATAGATAGATATAGATAGATGATGGATGATAGATGAATTGATAGATAGATATAGATAGATGATGGATGATAGATGAATTGATAGATAGATATAGATAGATAGATGGATGATAGATTAATTGATAGATGATGATGATGATGATGATGATGATATAGATAGATAGATAGATAGATAGATAGATAGATAGATAGATAGATAGATAGATAGATAGATAGATAGATAGATAGATAGATAGATAGATAGATAGATAGATAGATAGATAGATAGATGGATGGATAATAGATGGATAGATATGAACTCACCAATCAGTAACTTTTCTTCAATGAGAGGCTGGAAGCTCTTAGCCTCTGAGTTTTGGGGCTCATAAATTAAAACTACATTTAAAGAATGAATGAGAATGATGAAAACATTAGTATCATGATGTAAGAAATGCCAAATAACAATACTATAGTCCACAATACAAATGGCTGCTTACTCATCTGACAGAGCTTCTTGGCGAGTGGATAATTCTTTGTCATCACAGCCTGTAGAAACTGGACTCAGAGAAACACGAACAGAACATTTGTTTAACTGCATCTCAATAGGCCAATGCCCACTGTCCAAAGTTGAAGAAGTGAAATAAAAAAGTGTGTTTGACACTTGCAGCCATTTTCAAACACATCAGAACTACTATTTCTTTCTGATAAAAGCGTCTGCTAAATGCATAAATGTAAATAAACCTGATGTGTACCTCTGCAAACAGTTCTAGAGGCACGTGTCCTTCTGCGCTCTCGGTCTCTTCCTCTTCACTTTGGGCCTCATGAGGATCCTGGTCATTTGCAGACGACACTACTTGAGGGGCCTGGATATGTTTTTCAAGCACACTTTCTGACTGGACTTCACATTCTCCTTGCTTTTCTAATGTTTAAATAAGAAAAAGAAAATCTTTTTTGGGCCCTGCTGCATTTGTACAGGAGCCCATGGGCATCACAAAATGCGTCAGGAACTCTGAGACAAATGGGTTGAACAATAAATGCTTTAAAAAAGAATAAGGCCCTGTTCACTCCTGGTATTAAGATGCGTTTTGGTCGATCGGATCACGAGTAGACATCCCCGTGGTGTTTTAATCCGTCTCTATTGTCAGAGACTATTTATATAAAGACATGCCACTTACTCAATCCTCAATACAACTATATAGGGAAAACCCGTAACGCCAAAGATGGCGGTTGTATGCACATGTCCCGCCCCTCCCGCTGGAAAGCCAATCGTCTGCCTTTAACAGTCAAGCCGGGAAACATTTAAGCCTATCGTCTGGTTCCACTGACGCATGCGCACAGTTGAGGTTTGCGACAGTGGAAAATACGTTACTGTTTGAAAAGGCGGCAGATTTGATATGCAGTGTATATGTGAGTTGTGTAAATATCAGACATCCCAAGTGTCTACCACATATTTATAGCGGCTCCCTGATGCACAAAATTAGTTCAAATCTCCCGGAAACTAGAGCGAGCGAGCGAGAGCTCACACATACTGTGTTTCAAACCGTGCAGCGCGTGCACGTCAGAGGGAGAGAACCCTTGCGCATGCGTAGTAAAAGCATAACCTGTGGGGAAAAAGGCGTTTTAAACCTTATTTTGGGGCAAAGTCATCAAACTTTTTCAGCGATCTTTATCATATTCTACTGCTGTTTCTATACATGCAGTTTTTATGTCCCGGTGACCAGTGAAAGTGCAGTTCTGACTCTCTGCCCATTCATTTAGATACGAGCCTGGTCTTGTTAGTCCGAAATAGCTGCCCGGAGGCGTTGCCAAGATGGCGGCCGAGTGGCATGACTTGTCTAAAAGGACTTTGCTATTGTCCACTTTCAACCACTTCTGTCCTGATTTCCTCGAGGGAATGGTCTTTTTTCAGATCTTTCGATCTAATGGATGAAATAAGCTTGTGGAATTTACATGTGATTTACACCCGGAGATGACGGAAAAACACGGAGATTAGCAGCTGACAGCCACAAGACCAGCCGAACGCTGTGAGTGTGTGTTAGAAATCAGGAATGGGGAGAGAACATTGTGCTTGGTACATTTTTCATCTTCAAACCAAACTTGGGTCTTCATCCGACAAAGTTAAATCCCGTCTGGCTAGAGCTCTTCCTATAATGTTCACGGATGAGGTCAGTAGACGGAGAGTAGACGGTGTTTTGTGGCTGTTTGAACACATTCGACCACATGATCATTTACACTACGAAAGCAATCCGGTCAAATGTGTTTTTTACTCCCTCTGGAAGTGGTCAAAAGTGGACAAGCTCAAAACGCTTTAGACCCTATTTAGTGTTGTCCACTTGTGATCCGATCGACCAAAACGCATCTTACTACCAGCTGTAAACAGCCTATAGGATAAAACAGATTCAGTACCTGTCATCATAGGGGGGACCTGTTTAGGTAGTTTATGTCCATGCGTGGTTACATTTCTGAAGGACGGAGCTTTAGAGGCATTATACCCTCTGCTGCTGAAAAAAATGGGTGATAAAAGGTAAACTATTAGAGATCACTGGAGCGAATGAATGCCATCAGCTTCCCTGCTTTATGCATGTACGGCCCATAAACCACATCCCATGCATGACCCAAAGAGCATGTTGACCGGAATACAAAAAAGCCACTGATACAATCAAATTAAAAATAAGGATTTTTCTATATTCCTCTCAGTATTATGCATCTGTCCAAATGATCTAGTATAGAGAAATGTCACTTTTAGTTATTATTGTCAGATATCAAATGCTTTTACCTCTTGGAATTGTGTTCTTTGTGAGAGGTACTTGATGTTTCAGAGTTTAGGGAAGGATTCCCCTCTGTCTTTATAGAGGGATCCTGCTTTTCTCTCTTTTCACTGGGTTTTGCTATCGGTTGCCTACACAAAATCAAACCAATGCATTTAAATGATTGTTAAAGTGTATTTCTGACATGACAACTCTAGGAGTGTTTGGCATGGTAATGGATATGACAATGTTGAAATGTTTGGTCTTGGCAGAATAGATTTGTTACACTGCTTCTGCTGCAGAGCAAGTATGAGACTTGCTACTGCCAATACACACACGCTACGCTGCTGTGAGCAAGTCCTGCTGCTGCTGTACGATATAGTATACACTCACCTAAAGGATTATTAGGAACACCATACTAATACTGTGTTTGACCCCCTTTCGCCTTCAGAACTGCCTTAATTCTACGTGGCATTGATTCAACAAGGTGCTGAAAGCATTCTTTAGAAATGTTGGCCCATATTGATGATAGCATCTTGCAGTTGATGGAGATTTGTGGGATGCACATCCAGGGCACGAAGCTCCCGTTCCACCACATCCCAAAGATGCTCTATTGGGTTGAGATCTGGTGACTGTGGGGGCCATTTTAGTACAGTGAACTCATTGTCATGTTCAAGAAACCAATTTGAAATGATTCGAGGTTTGTGACATGGTGCATTATCCTGCTGGAAGTAGCCATCAGAGGATGGGTACATGGTGGCCATAAAGGGATGGACATGGTCAGAAACAATGCTCAGGCAGGCCGTGGCATTTAAACTAAGGGGCCTAAAGTGTGCCAAGAAAACATCCCCCACACCAATACACCACCACCACCAGCCTGCACAGTGGTAACAAGGCATGATGGATCCATGTTCTCATTCTGTTTACGCCAAATTCTGACTCTACCATCTGAATGTCTCAACAGAAATCGAGACTCATCAGACCAGGCAACATTTTTCCAGTCTTCAACTGTCCAATTTTGGTGAGCTCTTGCAAATTGTAGCCTCTTTTTCCTATTTGTAGTGGAGATGAGTGGTACCCGGTGGGGTCTTCTGCTGTTGTAATAATAATAATAATTCATTACATTTATATAGCGCTTTTCTAGGCACTCAAAGCACTTCACATGGAAGGGGGAATCTCCTCAACCACCAATGTGCAGCATCCACTTGGATGATGCGACGGCAGCCATAGTGCGCCAGAACGCTCACCACACACCAGCTTACTGGTGGAGAGGAGACAGAGTGATGAAGCCAATCAGTGTATATATATATGGGGATGATTAGGAGGCCATGATGGACAGAGGCCACTGGGCAAATTTGGCCAGGATGCCGGGGTTACACCCCTACTCTTTCGAAAGACATCCTGGGATTTTTAATGACCACAGAGAGTCAGGACCTCGGTTTAACGTCTCATCCGAAGAACGGTGCTCTTTGACAGTATAGTGTCCCCGTCACTATACTGGGGCGTTAGGACCCACACAGACCACAGGGTGAGCACCCCCTGCTGGCCTCACTAACACCTCTTCCAGCAGCAACCTGGGTTTCTCAGAAGGTCTCCCATCCAGGTACTAACCAGGCTCAGCCCTGCTTAGCTTCAGTGGGCAACCAGTCTTGGGCTACAGGGTGATATGGCTGCTGGTTGTAGCCCATCCGCCTCAAGGTTGTGCGTGTTGTGGCTTCACAAATGCTTTGCTGCATACCTCTGTTGTAACGAGTGGTTATTTCAGTCAAAGTTGCTCTTCTATCAGCTTGAATCAGTCGGCCCATTCTCCTCTGACCTCTAGCATCAACAAGGCATTTTCTCCCACAGGACTGCCGCATATTGGATGTTTTTCCCTTTTCACACCATTCTTTGTAAACCCTAGAAATGGTTGTGCGTGAAAATCCCAGTAACTGAGCAGATTGTGAAATACTCAGACCGGCCCGTCTGGCACCAACAACCATGCCACGCTCAAAATTGCTTAAATCACCTTTCTTTCCCATTCTGACATTCAGTTTGGAGTTCAGGAGATTGTCTTGACCAGGACCACACCCCTAAATGCATTGAAGCAACTGCCATGTGATTGGTTGATTAGATTATTCATTAATGAGAAATTCCTAATAATCCTTTAGGTAAATGTACATATAATATAGTGAATTACCCGTAGCAGATCTATACCGGTGGAGCTGGGGAAGGTGGAGGGTTTCTGAAAGCACGCTGCAAACTGCTACAGCAAATGCTGACCAAGTATTTAAAGATTGAGCCGCGAGCTCATTGGCTACTGATACAATCAGCTGTGCTCTATAGACCCCTTTCAGTTGGTAAACATTGTGACTTCAGAACGATTCCCTCTGGCCGCTTCACTAACGCTAGTTAGCAAGTTTTGTTAGCTTGTTTTTTTTTAACGACTGGAGAAAATGTGATTTTATCTTAATGTGTAAGGTTACTCACTGTCCAGGACAGCGATTGTTTTAAAAAAAAGTTAATTTTAATGGACGGAACCAGATTGGGTGACCCGTACACACAATGGATGGAAGATCTGACAGGATTAACGTTACCTCGGTTGAGTGGCCTGACATCTACACCTACCTGATAGAGAAACCGAGCGTAAAGAGAACCTGAAGGCCAGAAGACGACCACGTAAAGAGTGACATTACAGTACAACTTTAAAGATGAGAATATTTTCTAGAAAAAAAAATTCCAGATACAGCAACTTTATGTATTTGATTATTCTTTCTTACCAGATTCTTCAAAAAGTTTAGTCACAATCAATCAACAATGTATATATACAATCACAGATGATTCACAAATAATCACAATAGTTTAGAAAACATTATGTGATAAAATTGGAGCCTGTACTCCGTCGATTATTGTACCCAACAACACAACAAGATGACATTTTAAGCTTATCCGAATCTGTGCTGGTTTGTATTGGATGCCTCCAGTTTTGCCTCCAGTTACCGCCATGACGTAATTGTGACGTTAGCGCAAAAAAGGGTCTATAGAGAATGATGTGATTGCAAGCAAACTGAGTTACGTATCTATTAGTCTGCGTCGTCTAGAGTTTCATGACACAACTTTGTATTTAATACATCAAAGTATATGAGCATTCTTACTTCATCTATGCAGGAAAATACGTTTAATTGTAAATATTGTGAGGCTTTTACAATGTTACCCGTCGACTGAGAGCTGCATGGGCAATTCATGTTCATTAATCACCACTGTTATAAAATGTTTTACCTTGTGGAACTTGGAGCTTTGATATTTGTTGTCTCATAGTTTATAGATAAATCCTGTCCTCTTGTCCTCCCGCTGGGTTTTGGTTTCTGCTGCCTATACATAAAATCAAACCAAAGCACCAAATGCATTTGACGTGAATGTGAAAGTAACTAAAGCAAACTGTATACAGTATAATATCCAAAAGATAATCTGAAAATCTAAACCTACTCTGGTTTCCATTCCACTGATTCTTTTGCCACTGGATCTACAGAACAAAGGACATAACGTCATTCAACCTTTAAGAAAAATAACCCTTGAGGAAAGCAAGGCAGACTGTCGTCATGTGCGTGTAACTGCTTAATGTAAAAAACAAAACAAAAAAACAGTTGCTATAGTGGATATGTATTGATAGAAATGATTTCCTGCTAATTGATTATTGTACCTGTTGAGCTGCCAATCACTGGTTTTGAGGGTGCAACCTCCTTTAGAAATAGAAAAAACAATACATTCTCTATTATTTCTCTATATTACTTAAATTGCTAAATGATCAAGACACTAGTTTGTCACATGATATGAAAGTTAAAGGTTCTCTAAGCGATCCTGGGTGACGTCACTTCTTGTTGACGTTCGAACTATTGTCAAACAAAACGGAGGCTAGCTAGACCCTCCCTCCTCCTCATCCGCACACTAACCCCCCAAACCACACCCCCAAACCCTTCTTGTCGGTCATTGGCTGGAACAGTTTGTTATGTTTTGGGGAGCGGGTCGCTGCAGTTTGTTTTTGGTGCTGTTTGTGAAGCATGGGCTGTCTACAGAGATCGCGTTTCTTTACAGTGTGTTCAGGGGACAGGCAGCCAGCGGATAGTGAGGAGATGTTTGCTGTATGTGACAAAAAATGTTTTGGCCTAAAAAACACATGACATCGCTTAGAGCACCTTTAACAAAGCACAATATCGATATATAACCACTAACCTTTTCATTGTCTTTTGATGAGACTCCTGACAGCCGCCCAACACACTGTAATCTTAGCATTAATAATAATAAAATATTTAAAATAAGTATTTTGTTGTTAAAGAAATGCAGACATAGTAAAACCACTGTATAGAGACTTTTAAAGAGTAATGGAAATTATACAAATGTTTATGTTGAGTTAATGTAAAAATACACGAGAGCCCAGTTTTAACCTGTATGTGCCCTGATGTTCTTAACATTATAGCTAACAGTCAGGTGTATTAGTCTTAAAGGGTTAGTTCACCCAAAAATGAAAATGCTGTCATTAATTACTTGCCCTCATGTCGTTTCAAACCCGTAACACTTTCATTCATCTTCAGAAAACAAATTAATATCTTTTTGATGAAATCTGAGAGCCTTCAGTCCCTCTGTTGAAAGCTACGCAACTACCACTTTGATGCTTCAAAAAGTTAATAAAGAGATCATAAAACTAATCCATATGAATTGAACGATTTAGTCCAAATTTTCTGAAGAGACTCAATCACTTTATGTTATGAAGAGATTTAATTTAGGTTTTATTTACATATAAATCAGCAAACAAAAACTCAACCGAACCTGTTTGATGCGCAAAAACAAACCTCATTCTTGCTGAAGCTCAAAAGAGCTGAGAATGAACCTCATTGGTTCTTGCATGTCAAGCAAACATGCTTGAGCTTATGTTTACCACAACTGATGTGTGACTTGAATGTTTATATATGAATAAAAGCTTATATTAAAAAATGTTGGAGTAAATAGCTCAATTTATGTGGACTAGTTTTACAATCTCTTAATGCACTTTTTAAAGCATTTAAAGTGGCAACGTTAGTTGCATAGCTGTCAATAGAGGGACAGAAAGATCTCAGATTTCATGAAAAAGATCTTAATTTGTGTTCAGAAGATGAACGAAAGTCTTGTTTGTAAGGCTAAACTACACTATTAATTACACTAGGGAGAGTAATTAACGACAGAATTTTCTTTTTTGAGTGAACTATCCCTTTAAGACTTGAAGCGATGCCTGTAACTCAAGAATCTGTTGAATGTTTTAAGCCTTATTCACTTTCAGACACATTCTATTGCAACGTTTACAGACAACAAAGCGATCGTTTTAAATGTAAAAACGGGTATTAACTGTTTGAAAAATAACGTAGAATAATTTATATAAAACACGTAAAATAATAGATTAAAATGCCATATATGAGCGTCCTTACCTGTTCATCTGTGCTTTATTTTTAAAGGATCTATCGACTGTAATCGAGAGCTGAACGGGTAATTGTGAAGTCTGTCATAAAATTGAAGGCCTACAGTAACACTTTTCAGAAGTTTCTTTTGACTTTCTGAAGCCCTGTCGCAGTTTGAGAGGGCAGGCGTGCTGTTTCCATAGCAACTGGAGGCGTCACCTCCAAACAATCCGAGTGCAACATGCTCCTTCCGGAACCAACGTCTTGCGTGACACTTGCTACTTGTTTTACACAAATTGTAACAGCATACAATAATGTATTCATTATTTAGCAATATACATTATCATTAGGCTATTATACCTTTTGTTCAATGAGGATTTTAACTTCCAAGTTAATAAAAAGTGACTAAAATTGTGCAAATGATAAAATAGAGTAGACAAAATGTGTAGCCTTTATAGATTAACGTAATGTCTTTTTTGAAAAAGAAGGCAATTACCAATGAACATTTTTACTTAGGGTTTTGCCTGTACACCGAGATCATATTGCATAGGGGGAAACTTTGGTTGATTCCAACATTATTTTTTAATATTTCTTTGGGTCTGAATAGACACTTTCCTTAGAGTCCCGACAATACAAAAGCTTTGAACATTAATTTTAACACATTTTGAGCATGTTGTAACACGTCTCAATGGTCCTACCATGCTTTCTGCTATATTTAAACAATTCTGAAACTATTTCTGAAATAGCAAAAAAGTAAAAGGTAACACATCAATGTGAAATTATTTAGGGATGCACGTCCAATATATGATCAGTTTTAATGTTATTGTTATCGGTCTGATAAGAAAATCTGTCCGATAAATACTGGATTATTCCTTCAGCTGAGACACATCAGATGCGCACTGTTCAACATGATGGTTAGTAAATTGCTTGAAATATTATTTGAATCACTTCAAAAATGAAAATGCAGAGAAGTGCAACATGTGCAGTCTGTCATAGCTATACATAAAAATGTAATCAGGCTCTCAAAAATGATCAAAACTTATCGTTAATCGGCATTCAAATATAAAGAATTATATGGTTATCGGCATTGGCCAAAATGAATGTAATTAATAAATTGTATATTGTATAACATTTAAACACAGCTGTGACAACGTGCCCCAATTGAATGCAACTTGAATTAAAAACCCTGCTAGAGAAAATAAACCTCGGAGTAACTTTAACCCCAACATTTTATATTTACTGAGATAGTAGTATAGCTCAACTGTGACAACAAGCCCTGCTCTCCCATTACTTCATGAAGTGCTCGCTTTAAACAATCTAAGACTTCTGCTCAAGAGTTTCGCTGATGTGATCCAGCACGGGATACAGTGGTCTGCTCTTCCTCATCAGGTGTGTCTTCAGGTGTTTGGCCAGATGGTCACTGCGCATGAAGCGTTTGTTGCAGTCCGGGCAGGTGAAGCGCTTCTCTCCGGTGTGTGTGCGCAGGTGTCTCTGGAGCTCATCGGAGCGCGTGAAGCTCTTCCCGCAGAACATCCAGGTGCACACGAACGGCCGCTCACCTGTGTGCCACCTCAGGTGTGCCTTCAGGTGCGACGTCTTTCCGTACACCTTCCCGCAGCCCGGCATGTGGCACACGTGCTGCTTTCTCCTGCCCGGCGCGCCCGTGCTCTTCTGGCAGTTTGGGCACATGCATCTCCGGCTTTTCCGAGACTTGGAGTTTAGCAGGGTGGCGATTTGGGACTGGTACTGGCTGAGCTCCGGGTGACCCAGAACCCACCCGCGGGGGATCCGCTGAAAATGATGTGTTGAGGAGACACCGGCGTCTTGTAGGGTCCACCATTGTATATCCTCCCGAGCCAATTGCCTCTGCGGATGATGCACAAGTCCAGTGTGTGTGGGTGCGTAAGCTGAAACTGACGTGGGAAGAGAAGCGTATGAGGAGGATGCTGATGGACACGGCAACATCTTCAGCGGTGAGAAGTCATAGTGTTCAGCTGGAGGTGTCAGTGGCACGTCGTGGTGTGGGTTTAATGAGGTCTGGAAGTGCTGGGACAGCCTCGTGCCACAGCCAGAGGAGAACGCTGCATGTGTGGAAGCGTCACTTCTCCAGGGATGGAAGAGCTTGGGTGGTGAACCTTCATACGGGACGTGAGTGGATCCGGAGGCACAGGAATGGCTGATGCGATTGCAGGTGTCTTCCAGCAACATCAAGGGGGATCCTTTGATGGATTCTGGGGTGGAGTTTGGAGTCCGATCCTATGAAATATCAATGCATATAATTTATGACAATACATTGAGGTCTTAAAGCAACACCATGTGATTTTTCCTCAGCGGTCGCCCTACAGGTTGGAAGCAGAATTGTCCATTACTGCTGTCGTAAATAATTTAGCCTTCCGCAGCCGACTGTCGCACGCGCACGCTCGCTGTTTATCCAGCGCCGGCTTTGGAATCAACAATGGCAGACATCCCAACCTGCAAGAAGTAATTTCAGGGAGGTCTATCTTGGTGACTGGATTGTTAACGGGGGTGGCAGGGGGTGGCAGGTTGACTAGCTTTCGTGAGGCACACTCGCAAGGTCTCTCGCTCTCTCTCTCTCTCCCGTGCTCGCGCTATGTATGTTATGTGCTCAGTGTGTTCTGTCTCGCATGCGCGCTCTAGATTCCGGCAGATCTGAACTAATTTGCGGGCATCAGGGAGACGCAGGAGACTCCCGGGAGACTTGGGATGTCTGCAATGGCCACAGACAATTTGAGGAAGTGGTGGGGGAAGTGACGTATGCCGTAAAGCAGTCGAATTTTGTAGTTCTTTTTGTGCACGGGTTCCTACCCGAAACCCGAAGTTACACAGTGCCAGTAAAAGCGATACAGACCACGTCAGGCTATGGCAGACGTGTCATTTAACTTATTTTAAGTCGATGTACCATCACAAGGGTCTTGGAAATATATTATGAAGGTTGAAAAACTACATAGTGTTACTTTAAAGGGATACTCCACTTTTTTTGGAAATAGGCTCATTTTACAACTCCCCCAGAGTTAAACTGTTGAGTTTTACCGTTTTTGAATCCATTCAGCCGATCTCCGGTTCTGGCGGTACCACTTTTAGCATAGCTTAGCATACATCATTGAAGTGGACAAGACCATTAGCATTTCTAAAAAAAAAAAATGACCAAAGAGTTTCGATATTTTTCCTATTTAAAACTTGACTCTTCTGTAGTTACATCGTGCACTAAGACAGACGGAAAATGTAAAGTTGCGATTTTCTAGGCTGATATGGCTAGGAACTATACTCTCATTCCTGCGTAATAATCAAGAAACTTCACTGCCGTACCATGAGAGCAGCAGGCGTAATGATATGAAGCAGCGCCTGAAAATAGGCCACCTTCCGTCAACACAACGGAACTATTTTCAGGCGCTGCGTGACGTAACGGCGACCAAAAGTGACGTCAGTATTGGTCGTGGGTTCGTCGCGTCACCAAAAGACTATGCCACGACGTTGTGGCAACTTCATCAGAAGGTAGTCTCGTGACCACAGCGCTTGGTCGCTTCCTTACCTTCCCACAACGTTGTCTAAAGACCAGCTGATGACCAATCATTTTCTAACCTCCTCACCACGTCTTAGCCACGTCATTTCTTGACTTAGAAGCAGATGTACATTTTAATAGAAGAATTTTTTTTCAGATATTTTGTATGTACAGGTGCTGGTCATATAATTAGAATATCATCAAAAAGTTTATTTATATCAGTAATTCCATTCAAAAAGTAAAACTATAATTTAATTTATATATATATATATATATATATATATATATATATATATAATTTAAAAATGTTACCCTATTCACCTGTGACAGGGTAACATTACCCTGTAACATTACCCTGACACTTGTTACAGTGTCTTAAGTGAGACACTGTAACAAGTGTCTCACTTAAGACTCATTCAAGTCATACAGATTTCAACAATTTCCCTTCGGTACACTAGGGGGCAGTATATGCAACTCAAACGATTGCAGCGAAGAGCTTCCGCTGCTGGTGTATAGAAGTCCCACCTCACGAACCGGAACATGCGTGGATTGTGTTTGAATTTTCACTTTTCGTATCCTTTGACCGTCTTCTAGTTGTTTATTTTACACACTTTCTTATCTTTTTAGTTACCTAACGTTACAGCAGTAGTTTAACTTATCAATCGAAGAAAGAAGAAATACACCATTCCTTCAAGACGAAACAGGTAAGTGTAAAAACAACCCGCCGTAAGGGTCCCACACGTTCTCTAAAGTTTCCTAATTTTACATTTTAACCAAGATCTCTATTTCAAATGTAGTTTAAAATGGCTTTTTAACTAGTTAGGTTTAATTGTTGAGTAGACAGTGTTGCGTCACATTTGCTCAAATAGAACATGTCTGAGTGGGCCTAACGTTACTGTAGGCCTACTGTTGTTGTTTTATATGTACAGATACTGGTCATATAATTAGAATATCATCAAAAAGTTGATTTATATCAGTGGAATTTACTGCTGTAGTCTCTTACTGTGGTAATTTCATTATCCTGGTAAATAGAATAACTTATTTCAGCTTTATTTAATTGTTGTTTTGTATTATTACATATTGTTTTTCTCCCTTCCCAGTTCCTAGAAACCCTGTTTTTGTCTGGAAATGTTGTATTCACACAATAGTGGTGTGGGAAACTATTAAACTCGCATCTAATTTCTTCCATTGCAGCTCTCGGTGATTGTCTTCACTGAAATCGGAAATCACAGAAATCTGCAGTGTTTTTCAGGTAAGCATGTTTTTAAAAAAGTGATAGTATTAAATCCAGTATACAAATATTGTTATTGGGGGACTGTAAACTATTCTGTTTTTAGAACTTGACAATCCACTAACTTAAACCTTTTCAGAAACATCAAGTGGCTACCATGTCCTTACTAGGGGTGTAGTTTGATACGATACACTTGTGTCACGGTTCGGTACGTTTTCGATACAGCAAAAATAAAGAAATGCCAGAGAAATGTCCTTGATATAATTTTTTTAATTATATTTTTATTAAAACTAACATCATAAAGTATGATATTTTTTTACTTTGAGCAATGATGGAGCTATACTTGACTTTTCTTAGGAGCATATAAAACAAAAACAGCTCCTTGGACAAAATGAAATGTAATATTGTAGTAGTTATAAACAAAGGTTTATTTTAGTTCAGATTAACATTTGAGGGCAGCAATTGTATTCATAATGTCAAAATAAAACCGACGTAATGTTACTTGAAAGCATTATAGCCTACTATTCCTGCCACACTTCCATGGTTACAGTTAGTAGTGTTACTACAGTAAATCCATGGTGAATGTTGCTGATCTGTGGACACTGATTAGTTCATTCATGGCACAATGTTTCTCCTGGTTTCCACGTCAGCGCGGTTTGAATTGTAAAATTTGATTGTATTTTAGGATGAAGCGAAGTCGGAGAATCTATTTACAGTCCTGGAGAGCTACCAGACGCACTCTCCAAAAACTCCATGCAAGCCAGGCAGAAAATGCACGTGCGAGCCAGACAGGGAATGCCTGTGCAAGCCAGGCAGAGAATCTCACTCACCAAAACACTGAGAGCCTCAATAGAGACGCATTCATGGCATGTGGAAGAGATGGAATGGTGATAGAGGACGTGTCCGATTTGAAGAGAGATAAAAGCATGAATGAAGACAATTTGTTTGAAGACAGTGTGCATGAGTCATGTGACAGGCACAAAAGTGGTATGGAGTCACCCTGCAGTGACTCAGTGAGCAGTGACTCAGACCTCGACAACCACTCTGATGGCACATTGTTTGAAGCCCTTGCAGCTTGGACCAGTGAGTTCCGGGTGAAGCACAATGCTGTGGATAGCTTACTGAAATTGCTGCAAAGCCATGGTCATCCACAACTGCCATCCACTGCCCGTACAATCCTATATTGTTTGTACTTTCCCTAATGTTCACATTTCTTTGTAGCTGACTTTAACCAGGCACTTCGGTGGTTGAGAAAGGCCGAAACATTGTCAAACGTGGAAAGTGCAGATGATGGGGCTGTGCTCTCAAAAAGGACATCAAAAAGGCCAGCAAAATTTGCTTACAGCAGCGATGAGGGTATTTACATTTACATGTAGTTATTTATTACATGCTGTATCTCTGACTGGTTTGTTGACTGGAGTTTATTATATGCTTTTTAGATGAAGACTCTGCAGAACAGGTCCTCCAAACTAATAAGAAATCCAGAGGTATGATATTAAATAACTGTTCAATATTTCTCAAGAGTACCATGCTTCACAAGACTGCCCTCTATAAGAAAATCGCTAGCATGACATTTTTGGAATTCATTAGACAGGGTCCCGTAAATGAATGATTAACCAAAGTATCTTGGTAATATGTATCATCTAGGTTTGTCCCATGGACCACCAGAGGTGCCACTTTCATGGAAATCTTCTGCAGGACCAACACACCCTCCACCTCCCATCTGCATCTTTCCGCAGACAAACACTATGAACAGTAAGTTAACAATTGTTGCATAAGCTTTGTCAAGTTGTGCGGATCTATATTAAAATATACCTTATGTTGATATTTTTTATTTATTTACACAGACCTTGATCCAGTTAGTCCTATTCAGCCTGAGATGTCTGATGGTATGATTATATTTTTATTGTTGGTTTAATGACTTTGAAAATCTTGTTTATTTGTAAAGTGTTACAGTTATCAACATATCAACATATTGACACAAAAAATGTAGCCTGGTGATTTGAACTTTGGTAGTTCTCGTTTTATAACATGCTGAACCTAAGTGTTGAGTTTAATCGCTTGCATTTTGTATTGCATATGTGCACACAGAAACTGCCAGCTGCTCCTCAAGTGTGTCAGACTCTATCTCCGCCTTAACCCAAACGGTTACAGTAATACAAGGTATGTTAATTTTTATTGTGGGTAAATTTCAGTCATGTAATAACTGCAATGTGTTATCTTTGCACTTTGTACGTTTCTGACCTTCATTTTAATGTCTTTGAAACATTTTGTGTTTCTGAAACAGAGACACTTAAGGCAATGTTGACCCGCCAGGATGTGATGGCAAAAAACATCCAGGAGATCCTCCTCCGGTTAAACCAGACTGGAGGGGCCAGCCAGGGTCCGGAGACCCCAATAGAAATCGATGTGGCCCAGTCTTTGGAAGAACTTGCTGTCTTGGAGGCAAAACTGAAAGAGCTTCCAGACTACAAGAAGAGATTGGTGGGTAATGGTTTAAACATAAAGCTATGTTTTATGTAGAGCTAAATATTTACTGCATTACGGATTTTTAATTTTCTGTATTTCCTCTGTGTAGACACACCATCTCAGTCTGATTGGTGGAGCCAACCCGGGAGAAGTTACAAGGCGTATCATGAGGGCTGTAGCTTCTAGCAGTGTCTGGAAGAACTACAGCCTTCATGGGAAGAAGGGAAAAAAAACGTTGCTGCATACAGCAGTGTACCAGGTTATCAAACGTGAGTTTAATATAAGTGTTACTTTTGGTAATAATTGTGTGGATGTTCCACAGCACAAAAAAATGCATTTATGCTTGTCTAAACAATTTCTGCTTTACAATTGGTTCATGTTTCAAAATATAGCTTGCTGTTTTCAAATCTAAAAGACAATATCAAAATGCCCTTCTGCTTCATTTAATATATATTAAATGTGTCCACCACTTGTTTTGTAAAACATTGTAATTACACAAGAAATTTACAAAACATTTACAAATTTTTTTATTCTACACAACAGGGGCTATCATGCTGAGTCGGTCCGGACTACAGGACAAAGCTGTGGAGGAACTCGTCACAAATGTTTTAAAACATGCCCCAGCCCACAGTAAACTACAGGTACAAATATACACTTCTTGTGAGCATTTCACTTAAAAGACTGTGGCAATCGACTATTACTTGTAGGGATGGGCCGATACCACTTTATGGAATGAGTAGCAGTACTTAGTATTTCATTTTTTGCACTTGCCGATACTTACAGTGTACCGATACAAAATCTTGACATTAAATCTTGAAGGTCTGTTCACTTAATTTATTTAAATTGTTTGTCTAGGTGCAGCCAGTCCCAGAAGTGGCAGTCCCACATTAGGACAATAACCAGCAATTCAGATGAAGACCTTTTTAAAGTGTTTTAAATAGTGACATTTATTTTTTTCCTTTTTTGCTTTAATGTATAGTTGTTTTTTCCCCATTTGTTATTTTAGTGTCTGTTAAATTCTGTTAAATAAAATCTGCAAAAACACTTTTCAGTTCTTTCAATTATTCTACAATGTTTTTTAACATGTTTAACATTAACATTAGTGAATGTTTAAACATGTTTTTACCAATTGTTTGAGTAAAATGTCGATTTGAACAGTAATGCTAGTTGAAACAACCAACAAACAAAAAGTTCTGAACAAGAACCACAATTATAGATGTTGCTGTGGCAGGTAAATGCTAGTATAAATGGATGTCAATAAATCCACTGCAGAATGAATATATATATATATATATATATATGAAAAAGTCATCAAATGACCAATTGGCGACCAATAACGCTGCCGCAACGTACTGGCTACGTCGCAGCAACGTCATCCAAAAGACGAATCGGCGACCAAAATTAAATAACGTTTAACATAACGTACTGAAGACGTACTGAAGACGTTGTCACGTTGTCGGTTGGCGACGTCGTAGCGACCTCTTTTGGTGTTTCACTTTGGCGGTTGTGGCGACGTCATATGCTAACGTAAGCGTGACTAAAAATGACCAGCACGTGACGTCGTCACAACGTAATATTGTTTGCTGGGATATAGCCTAATAACGAATCCCTCCCAAATCATCATGCAAGCAAAAAAACATCAAAATGACAAGTTTGACACAATTCATCAGAGGAAATCTTTTAACGCACCTGAAGGAAAGCTTGCAGTGGGTCATTGTGCATTATGGCGTCCACAGTTATGCCGCACCAATGAAGACTTCTCGATCTAGATCCCCTGTAACTGTGTTTGGCACCGGTGCGCCTCTTTAATGCCGTGCAACAACACACGGGATAATCCTGTAGCAAAGTGAACACACTGGCATCATTTCATTGAGTTTGATCAGAACTCCAGCCAGTCAGAATGAAGCGCTTTGCCTTTGAAGATTACCGCTGCCCAATCATCACAGAATAACGAGGAGCTCAAGTCTTATGAGTGTTTGCTGCTTTGGAAAATAAAACACTTGATTATTTGGAGGGAGAGATGAAGGAGGTGCCATTAATTAATCGGGATTGTGAATGGATCAAAGAAATAATAGTGTATGCCACTGACGGGATATTTAAATGTTCAGTAATTGTTGCTTATGTCTACGAGGCTGTAGAAATGTATACTTGTTTTCTTTGGGTACTGCCTATTAGTTGGATAAAGTTAATCTGGGTTTCACGGTTTTGCCTTGTCAAACATATAAAACAAAACTTTTTGCACACAAAAACGTTAATATAGTATAGTATATATTTTATTCAGATGTTGTTAATTGTTTTCTGCAAGTATTTTACAGGATTTTTTAGACGTTAAAGGGATAGTTCACCCAAAAATGTAAACTCTGTCAGTAATGACTCTCCCTCGTGTTTTTCAACCCCGTAAGACTTTCGTTCATCTTCAGAACACAAATGAAGATATTTTTGATTAAATCTGAGAGCTGATCACTCCTCCATAGGCTTCTTAAGGGATCGAAACTGGCCAGCCCAAAAGTTATGAAAGACATCGTTAAAATAGTCCGAGTGACTACAGTGGCTCAACCTTAAGTTTATCAAGCGACGAGAATACTTTCTGTGCGCAAAAAAACAAACAAAAATAACGACTTTATTCAACTAATCATTGCCTATGGAGGAGTGATCCAGCTCTCAGATTTAATCAAAAATATCTTCATTTGTGTTCTGAAGATGAACGAAAGTCTTACGGGGTTGAACAACATGAGGGAGAGTCATTACTGACAGAGTTTACATTTTTGGGCGAACTATCCCTTTAATGAAGTCTTAAAAGGAACAGCATGGAAACCTAAGAGTCTAAGAGTCAGCGTGTGGGAGGCTCGATGCCTCTTGAAGTGCTTACAAGGGTGTCTAGAACTAGAGCAACATCTGTGGCTTTCCACAACAAAGCAGAACTCTGTTCCTTCAGCGCACAGCTTTGAAGTCTCATGAAGACAGAAAGCAGCCATTGTTCTCTCAGGCCTACATGAAGGCCCTCCAACATGGGTCTCTTTAGTTTAAGAGTTTCCCCCAGTAATGTGATCGTTCTCTCCGGTTTCCCTTGGTGAACCTTTGAGGTGAAGCCTGGTTTTGTGTTTAAAAGCCAGAGTCGTTTAGCCATGAACTGTGGTGGTTAGTGTGTGTGTGGTATGATTTGAATGCAATAAATAAATAAACATCAAAATATACATAAAATATTAGAACTGATTGTCAATATCAAAATAAGTAATTGTGATTCAGTTCCTTAGAGAAATCAAATAAAATAGTCAAGTCACCTTTATTTCCTCAGCCGTTGAAGCTTGTTTCCGCCACGGAATAAAACAATGTAAAAGATAAGTGCGACCTTTTGACTTTTTTCTCTCACAATTGTGAGTTTACATCTCGCTTTTTTTTCTCTGAATTACAAGATATAAACTCGCAATTGTGAGTTATAAAGATTAAAATTCGCAATTGCTTGTTATAAAGTCGGAATTGTGAGAAAAAAAAAAGAGTCATAATTGCGCAATATTACATAATTTATATCACGTAATTCTAACTTTCTAACTTGCAATTGCGACTTAATATAACATAATTCTGAGAAAAGTCAGAATTGTGAGATAAAAAGTAGTAGTAGTAGTTTTTATTTTTTTATTCTGTGGTGGAAACAAGCTTCCATAATTATCGCATTCATATACCAAATGACCACTGGTCAAGTGTCTTTAACACTAGAACGGCCATGACGGTCATTTTGACCCTTTTGATTTTTATATCTTTATATTTCCGCTACGGAATAAAACAATGTAAAAGATAAGTGCGACCTTTTGACTTTTTTTTCTCACAATTGTGAGTTTACATCTCGGTTTTTTTCTCTGAATTACAAGATATAAACTCGCAATTGTGAGTTATAAAGATTAAAATTCGCAATTGCTTGTTATAAAGTCGGAATAGTGAGAAAAAAGTCACGCAATTCTAACTTTCTAATTTGCAATTGCGACTTTATATAGCATAATTCTAAGAAAAGTCCGAATTGTGAGATAAAAAGTTGTAATTACCTTTTTTTTAAATTCTGTGGTGGAAACAAGCTTCCATAATTATCGCTTCATGCAACAGAGATTGTTTCAAAGCAGCTTTACAGAAATGACGATTCAGTGATGCAAACAGAATTCAATACTGCTGTAAAGCAGCTCTAAAAAGACAACAGTGTCACTGTTCAGCTGAGGTCAGTTCAGAGTTGATTCAGTTTGGATCAATAACTGTAAAGTTCATCAATTATACAATGAGTTCAATTCAGGAATAAAGCAGCTCTGCAGAAAACAGCTCAGTTCAGCTCTCAATAGTGTCGGTGCAGTCAAATCAATAACACTGCTGAATATTATAATGTGTGTAATGCGTGACTCAAAGAGCAATAGCAATAGAGCAGAAATGTTCAGATATGCTTTGAAGAGTCAATCTCTAAAATAAGAACCAAATTTAACCATAAGCAACAGAAATATTCTACCATGGGCCATTTAGTCTACCACACATTTTTATGTGCATGCTAAACACTATAAAACAAATTTCATATGCAAGTCAGAGGGAATCATCTGGTTATTGGAGGGCTGGACGGTTTACAACATGTCTTTCTTTGTTGCAAATGTTGGAATTCTCTTGGCATGACAATTAAAAATAAAAAAGCATGTTATCGGGGTCAGAAGAGGCTGGGGAGGAAGAAGCCTGTTAATAGAACCAGAACGCTTTCAACATGCACTCCAGGGTGTGAGAGTGACCCATTTTACATCGGACCTTTCCTTTGAGGGACACTGAGAGAGACGCAAGAAAGAGGGAACGAGAGAGAGAGAGAGAGGAATGATAACATTGAGTCTAGTCTGTAATTATATGGTAATGGTTATTAGAGCAGATCGGACACAGACCAATCAGAAGAGTTCTGGGGCAATTAGCTTCATTTGTGTGAGTGGCATTTATAATATATTGCCTGTGATACTTGACATATATGACCACCGGTCAAGTGTCTTTAACACTAGAACGGCCATGACGGTCATTTTGACCGTTTTGATTATTTTTATATCTGCGATAACTTTGTTAAAAAAAAAAAAAAAATCCTGCTGGTACCTGACTTTTCCTAAAAGTGTCTGTATTTATATAAAATACACATAAGGCAAAAAAACAAATCAACATATTTACCTATTTCGGCTACAGACGGTCATATTGACCGCACTGAATTTCCCGGTATTCTTTTGTTACATTTCCCGCGGTTGACTCTCACTGTCAACAGAATATCTCAATAAGATACTTTTAGTTGTTATTATCTTGTTCTGAGTTATGTTGAATGGATATGGAAATATAGCCTATCTGTAGTGAATATTTGGTGATTATGGTAGGCTACTAATGATATTATTATTTATAAATGTATAATTAAACTTGTTTAAATGTACAGTTTGGTGTTTTGTTTTTAAAAGATATTCTAATACAATAAATGCATTAATATCTCAAGTGGGTATTTATCATTAAAGATATAGAGTTTGTGAATCTAGCGGTCAAAATGGCACTTCGAGTGTTAACGACTAAATAGGAAGATTTGTATTAACAAGATTATATGCAGGAATCTTGAAGTTAATTTTAATACCTTTTCAAGACTTTTTCAAGACCTTCTCAATATTTTTTAATACCTCACCGCCACTTCAAGCTGTAACCATTTACATCAGTGATACTTTTAACTTAACAGTTTTGAGTTTGTGATAAAGACTATAGACCACTCTGATAAAAAAAAAAAAAAATCAAATAGGCTGGGATAGTAAATCAAAGCAAAGTTTTTTTTTAATAAAAATGACTAAATTCACACACTTTTACGATGTTTTTGGGACTCAAACTGTTGGACAGCTAATTCAGAAAAAATACTTTCAAAATGTAAGACTTTATAAAGCCGTGATAAGACTTTTTAAATACTTTTTAAGGGTCTTAATTTTCCCAAAATTGATTTATCACCTTTTAATACTTTTCAAGACCCCGCGGATACCCTGATTAATCATTTGATTCAATGCACTCATATATGTTTTTACATACTTATATTTAAAGATACCTGCATGTAATTAATAACCTGTCCCTAACCATACGCTTTAAATCAGTATAGTGATTGAGAACTGGTCTGCTGTTACAGACGGTGTGTGAACGAGGTTCAGTAACCGACAGAAGACGCTGCTCAGCTAATGATGTCTGAACCGGTTTTGATGAGCACATTTCCAATTCCCTAGAAAGCACATCAAAGTCACAATCAATGTTAATTACGGACCAGCCGTGGCCTTCAACACAGTTGCAGTGCTGCTTTCCCACACGCCTTCACGGAGATGATATTCTGGTCAAATCCAGATGGAGGAAGAGACCGTTCCTTCATTTTCTCTGCTGATTTTGTGGGAAATCTGGGCAATTCTACAGATGAACGGCCAGGACACTCCTGTAAAAGAGATTTTAATCTCAGTGAGGTTCTCTCCTGGTTAAATAAAGGTAAAATAAAAATAAAATAAAGAGATGAAAGCATTACATTTAGTAACTGAAAACAATCAAATAAACTAAAATATTAAATAAATGACCATAAATGGGGAAGGCAATGTTTTGTGAAAGGAAGGACCAATGACTGACTGGACTGTTGTTTTGGTAATATAATTTAAAATAAGTGTTTTCTATTTGAATATACGTTAAAATGTAACTTATTCCTGTGATCAAAGCTGAATTTCCAGCATCATTACTCCAGTCTT